AAAATACGTGTGTGTGTGTGTGTTATCGTTTGAAGTAGTCCCACAATGCAGAGTCCAGGCTGTCCAGGGCAATCAGGACAGTAATATACAGACTCTGCATCTTTTTTGGGGATTCTGCTTTGCTGCGTTAGGGGGGGTTTTAAAAATAAAATGTGTAGCCCCAACTCTGCTCTTTCCCATCACCACCTGGGCAGGTGCATCACGGTACAAAATCCCCAAAATGATCTGGAGCTGAAACTGTAAAAAAAAAAAAAAAATCACTTGCATTCTGGGGTTTGCTTTTTTGCACAACAAAAAAGCGTTGTGGGTTGCAATATGCATTAAGTAGATTGCAACTTTTCTGCACCAGGCCCTTGTCTTCCATATAATTAGATAGGGCTGCAGCAGCTGATCTGCCAGATCAACCCCACCCATATGCTGGCTATAGGCATTGATGCACACTGGCTTCCTGTGTTCTGTAGTCCTCTGTGTGGATGGTGGTAAGAAGGTACACATCCTTCTTGTCTCTCTACTTAACTTCCAACAGCTCCTCTTGGCACAGAGCTGAGTTGTCCTGGAAAACCTGCGCGGTTCTTTTTTATTGTACCGCAAGTTACTGTATCAAAACAATACAGTAGCTTGAACAAAGGGACACTTGTATAAAAATTGTCTGTATACAAGTGGTACTCTTTGTTCATCAGGGGGAATATCAGGTCACAGACAATCTTGCCACTGGTTCCCATATGTTCTGGGCAACCTAGAGGGTCAAGGTGGTTATCCTTTCCCTTGTACACCCAGAAGGTCTAAGTATACCCAGTCTCGCTATCACAGAGCTTATACACCTTTACACCATACCTGGAGTGCTTGGAAGGAATATACTGCTTGAATCCCAGCCTTCCCTTATTCTTCATCATGGATTCATCCACGCATATTCCAGGTATATAAGCCTCTGCAAACCTGGCAGCGAAGTGGGTAATCAGGGGGTGGATTTTATACAGCCTGTCAAACTGGGGATGCTCCCTAGGGGGGCACATGCTGTTGTTGCTGAAATGCATGAAATGTAGAATCATTTCATACCTCTTCCTTGACATACAGTAAATGGGGATGGAGCAGATGGGGCTACTGCCCCAGTAGGAGCAGATGGAGGGCTTCTTTAGTCAATGCCCAAATTTTTTTTTAATTCTGGCACATTGATGGGGGCTCATTGCTGCTTTGTCAAAAAAGACTCAGGATTAGAAGCACGGAAATGATGGGCATATAAATTAGTTTGAGCGACAATGTTCCCCAATACATCATCGCCCAGAAACACCTCCATAACCTGATGAGGGCTAAATCCTGCGACATTCACATTGAAGCCAGGATTTGCAGTGAAGGGTGGGATATCTGGCCTCTGGCGATTGAGGCACTATCCACTCCTCAGCAGTACTGCCAGCTTGAGCAGAACATCTCCTTCTGGCAGTAGGACTAGCAGCCACATATACATCATAACTAGATACATCACTAGCAGCAGACACTGTATCTAGTTATGTATCTGAGCACCTGGCAGGGTCAGAGTCAGACATAGACGCATCAGACTCTAATGCAAGGATGGCATATGCCTCCTCCGCGCTATACGACCTTTGTGACATGATCACAATTATTTTATTTAGTGATCTGTCCCAAAAAAAAAAACTAACCCCTACAAAAATGCACAGACCGCAAAGTAAGTGCTGCTGTGCAAGAGCCAGTGATCTATACAGTGATCACTGGCAGGATAGAGGTTAATAGCTCTGAAAAGAGCCTTTGAGTTTTACAAATCCCTACCTAAATCTCTGTTCCTAAAACACAGATCTCTCTCACTAAGTGAAGAGCGGGAGGGAGGGTGATCCATACTGATCATTTACGAATATTGGCCTGATCAGACAAATGGGGATGATAGTTAGAATAAAATTGTTATAGGGGCAAGCTCTGATTGGATGACCCTAGCCTGCATCTATAATGAGGCAGGCTAGGAACACCCCCAGAAGCCCCATGATGCACTGCCTGATGGCTTCCGATGCTCTGCTTTACTGCTGGGCACCACGTGGAGCAACACGGAAATGATCGCTCCAAGGGGAGAGTTTACTCTGGTATCCGGCAGTAAGGAGAGATATTGCCAGATGACTCAATATCAAAGCATCGCTGCAATACCATCAGAGCGGCTGGAAGCGATCATGATCGCTTACATCGCTCAAATTTGCAGCTGACATATTCGGTACGTCCGCTGTCCTTAAGGACCGTTTTATGTCGGACGTACCTGATACGTCCGTGGTCGGGAAGGGCTTAATTAGGTTTCAACCAAGTGTGTTTTACCATTTGTATTAGTATGAAAGTTGGTATAATACAAGGAAAGTCTGAAGTTGCCCACTTTCTGCTTTTCTGTCTAGTACTCCTGTGGTGTGGTGGAGGTTATTTATTACATCTGAGGTCCTCTACTATCTCAACCATTAGGAAGTTCTATATTCATTCCTATGTCCTCTATATGTGAGTGTTAATGGAGCGAATGGATGTGTAGTTGCTTGCCTTGCTCAGGTTAAAGAATGGAACAGGTGTTAACCTAGTATTTATATTGATTGGGAATAAGGGCATATCCAGGAAACTGTATCTACACTGAGTTGGACCTATATTGAAAAATGCTAAAAAAATGTTCCTTTTGTTCCCTGTTTATATGCAGCTTGCAAGCAGAAGCCTGAGACATCAGATAAAACCCACAGTCACCATGAAACTTCACATGAAGCAAAACGAAGATCTCACAACTAAAGTATTACAGACTGATCCTGCCACATTACTCCACCTCATCCGAGAACTGGAACAAGCTCTAGCAGAAATGAAAACCAATCACTGCCGGCGCATAGTGCGCAACATTAAATAAATATGTGGTGGTTATATGTCCTTGTTAAAGGCTGTTACACTTGGTTAATCGTCTGCATTTTCAGATTGATTGTCAGACAAGAAAGTGTTGACTTGTGCAAGCCGGCTGGTGTAAACTGTAAAGCCCAATAACAGGGGCTTAATGAAATCTTGCCGCAAACACACTGTAAAATAATAATTATTTTTTAACACTGCATTACAAAGGTGTCGATCAGATTATGCCGTACCCTTGGAATCACTGGTTCTTCTGTTTTCCAAAATATGTCCAAAGTCTTAATGCACTCTAGAACCAACGAAATTGTGAAATCCTATTGACTTTTAAATCTTAACACCCGCTTTTGTAGTGTAGTTCTGGTTTTGACATACGCAAAGAACATGTCTGCTAAGTATGTCCACCTAGCTCCTAAATTCTACAAATAATTATTTTGGAGCAGTGGACCAATAGATCAAGGACAAGGTGAATAGTTTTACAGATCAATAAACCATTTACATAGGACAAACCAGGCACTTAAATTAGTTTTATGTTACCTCTTGGATTCATAACTGAATGCATATAAAGTATTTGTTCTTTATAATATTCTTTTGAAATATATGTGAATAAAGGTACATTCCAGGAATATACATTTCAATTTTTCTTACAGGATTATTCACTAAAGTGAGAATTGAAAATGAATTTTACCTTAAATTTGAAATTCATTACGAATTCTTACTTTAGTAAATAGCCCTGTTACAGTTGCTAACCGTTTTTGTATTGTTTTCTGCTGATTAAGCTGTGCTTACTTTGTCCTTTGGTCTGTCCTTTTACTCCCTGCTAATACCTTTCTTGTTCACTGTAAGAAAGTAGCCATTGACATAAACAAAAGTATACGATTAGAGGGAACGTTGTGCAGGAATATAAAACAAAACAATGATCAGACTAGAAGAATAACTACAATCTTTTATGTTTTGAACTAAACTTTTGAATTAAACTAAATGAGCCACAATCAAGCTGCCAACTCGTAAAATATTCCTTCTGATACATGATTTGAACCACTCACCACTACAATGAAAAATGTTACTACTCTGGTGCAAGATCTAAAATGATGGCAAGTCCGTACTGAAGGAATTAGAAGGGATTAGAAAAAACAAAACAATAATCTTTTCTTCTGCAAAAGAAGTAAATAACGTGTAATAATGGGGTACTAACCGTAAGGATATAGTTGTTGGAACATTAACCTCTACGTCTGTTTATGATTTCACAGAATATAATTTGATACATAGGAAGATGATTGACATACAAAAGTTTGCCAAAGTTTAAATTAATGGGAATTAAAAGCAAATTTTACATTTTCGGCCAAAATACTTTAACTTAAGTAATATGAAATTTGCTATTGTGGCCTAAAATTTTAAATTCAAATTCTCAAGAATTTACACTTTAGTCAGTAACTCTGGGGGTGCATTCAGTAAATGACCGAATTGTAGTCAAATGGAAAAAACGAACGTCTAAAATAGACTACCTATAACTATAGATGAGTTAAAGTTCTTCCCAAAACAGTGCTTTATCACTGAACCGTTCAGAATTCACTGCAATTTTGTGTTTAGTGAATAAGCCCTCTATGGCTTAACTATACCAGAGGCTGAATGTATGTATTCGGTTACTATAAGATGCATACTTTTGTATTTGGATAATGGTGCTCTCTGTCAATTAGTTTGTTAAATTTAAAAATAACATTTTTCAAAATAAAATGAATAATCCCTCATTGTGTGTGTCTGTGTACATTAATGGGCTATCCTTAAAGGACCACTATAGTGCTCTGAGGGTGCCTCCACCCTCAGGGTCCCCCTCTCTCCGGGCTCTAGGTGGTGGAAGGGGTTAAGCTTACCTCTTTCTCCAGCGCGGGGTGGGGGACTCTCCGCCTCCTCGGCTGAATGCGCATGCACATTCAGCCAGTTCATAGGAAAGCATTTACAATGCTTTCCTATGGACGCTGGCGTCTTCTCACTGCGCTTTTCACAGTGAGAAGCGCCTCTAGCGGCTGTCAATGAGACAGCCACTAGAGGCTGGATTAACCCTAATATAAACATAGCAGTTTCTCTGAAACTGCTATGTTTATAGAAAAAAGAGTTAAACCTAGCTGGACCAGGCACCCAGACCACTTCATTAAGCTAACTTTCATTTATTATTGAGCTATTCACATTTCAGAGATCGGCTGTGCAATCAGAAATGCAGCTCAGCAGTAGAGGGCAGACCTCATCCATTTATTTCATCAAAAGCAGGTTTTATCGGAATATTACTCACTGTAAATAAACATTTGCATTGTATTATCGTATTATGATGTTCAGGGGGGGAATAGAATTTTCTTCACATTTAAAATGTTTCTACTATTTTTATATCCTATTGTTCTCTCTGCTCCTTTTTAACTTTGCTGTTGCCTGCATGAGGTCAGCATTCTGAATACACTACTTTAATTGTGAAGAGTTTCACCTCCAGAAAATGTCTTTATATGTACTCCCTGTCACATGAAGAGATGATTATGTGCACATCATTCCTTTGCACCACTACAATTTCGGCTGGACCATTTTGACCCAGGCTGGTAAAATCCCATTGATATTTACAAGGAAACAGCCTACATAATCAATATAATTTATTTAGGTTTAATAACCATTACTTACTGCACAGGCTGATACTGTGAAGTTGCCCCTAGCAAGATTCGTCACTAAAATGAAAATTGTGAATTTCAAATGTCAGGTCAAACTAGCTGAACTTGAAAAGTTCTCTAAATCAGCTATGCTTTCACTTCAACTACTCTGGCCTTAAATTTGAAATTCACTTAGAATTCTCACTCTGGTAAACAACACGCGAGCAAGGGGGGTACTATAGTGCTAGGAATACAATTTTGTATTCCTAGAACTTTAGTTACCCTTTAAGTTTAAGGGGGAGGACTGCCTCAGACATGGGTACTCTAACCAAACCAGTGTTTGTTTTTTGGGGGCAGTAAACCTTTAACAGTAGTATAGTAATATAGTTTTTTTGTGTGTGTGTGTACTGCCCCTTGTCCAACATCTAGCAACAATTATGTTTCAATAATGCCCCAAATAATACCATGTTACCCTGGTTGTGACAGTTCATTCCAGCTGGAAGAAGTGAATAGTTTTAGATGTTACAAACCTAAGACGTTACAACATGTAAAATAAAATTTTTGTGATTAAAGAACAAAAAATGTAAACATTTTATATTAGATAAGATTTTAAACATGGTTTCCTTGCCCCAACGATGAAATGTGTTACATTTAATATAAATTTGGAGAAAGCAGAGCATCACATTTGATTTTCAATATTTTATTCTAGGGTGTAAATTCCTGCTACAATGGAACATTTACCCTTTGAATTATATTTCTCTGAAATGCACTGCCATATGTTGGCCATATTATAGAACCACACATCAATTAAAGGTAAAATGCAATGTAAAATAATAATTTTCTTTTTAAAGTCAGTTATTTACTAATTGAAATTGAAGTTCAAAGTTATAGGCAACATAGCTTAAAGGAACAATATAGGGTCAGGAACACAACCATGTATTCCTCTCCCTTAGCTCCCTTAAAAGCAGTTAAAACTCACCTTATTTCCATCGCCGCATGGATCTCCCGGGAAAGCATTGGGTTGGATAAAATCGGCAAAGGGGCCAGGTAAAAAAACTGTTTTGGCAAATCAGCACCTCTAATAAAATAATGTATTAGATTTTAAAGGGACACTATAGTCACCTGAACAACTTTAGCTTAATGAAGCTGTTTTGGTGTATAGAACATGCCCCTGCAGCCTCACTGCTCAATCCTCTGCCATTTAGGAGTTAAATCCCTTTGTTTATGAATCCTAGTCACACCTCCCTGCATGTGACTTGCACAGCCTTCCATAAACACTTCCTGTAAAGAGAGCCCTATTTAGGCTTTCTTTATTGCAAGTTCTGTTTAATTAAGATTTTCTTATCCCCTGCTATGTTAATAGCTTGCTAGACCCTGCAAGAGCCTCCTGTATGTGATTAAAGTTCAATTTAGAGATTGAGATACAATTATTTAAGGTAAATTACATCTGTTTGAAAGTGAAACCAGTTTTTTTTTTTTTTTTTCATGCAGGCTCTGTCCACCATTAACAATTATTTACTGAAAAGATAAAATAAAAATCAACTTTTTGTCCAACCGCACACAAAAATGTTACCTGGCAGTTTGTCGAATTCATATTTTTGCAAAGAATACTAAATGTTACATAGACGCCTGAAAGCATTTGAAAGCTTTTCTGTGCAAATAAATAAATAACCATGGTGGAAACCCCATTGAATTTGTAAAACATATTGGGTGTAAAACCATGGACATGAGAGAAACTCTAGTTGGAGGTCCTAGGTATGAACATCATGGCAGATTCATCATGTACATTAGATGCCTAAATATACCAGTCTATGGTTGGAAAACTATATTCTGAATACCACATTGAATTGGTTGGAATTCGTAGTGGATTGTATCCCTCCTTCAAACTAGGCTTCATTCTAACGGGCAATGACTGGACCCCGAGTGAGCCAAAGTAACCCTCAGATTGGGTTACCTATCTCTGGAAGAAGTCAAATGCTTGAAATAGACCAAATACAAATATACACAATGAAGCCCTGTGCTCAAATTCCCACTACCCCTGGGCTAACCTCCAGTTAATTTAAATGCTCATAGGGATTTGGGAAGGTGCACAAGTAACATTTTTATTAGTTTTTTTTTAAATTGTAACCAGAATCATGCCTTCCTCCCACTTGAATGATTTCAAAATTTGTAAAATATTGGTGGTTTGTAGCACATCTTATAAGGTGGAATGATTAAGTTGAAGAGCAGTAGTTCTATCATTAGACTGAGGAGAACACACATCATCCCTGCTAAAGCCTAATCTACCTACTGCTTGTGGGGTTGGTGCAATTTCATAAGGCATAGGACCCTTTAATTTGGAAGTGGGGGGTCATGTTGTATGGTTCTGACCTTTTCTTATGCATGGTTTGTTGTAAATAAAGGTAATGGCTATGGCTTTCATGAGCACACAACCCTCAAAGTCTTACCTCACCATAATTTATACATGGAGTGTCCTAATGTATTGATCCTGCCCAACCCTACACAGAATCACAGATGACACCAAATATAAAAAGAATTTACCGTTTGTAACAATATATTGAATCATTATATTTAGTTGCATCCATTAGTTAAATAATTAATTAGATCGAATCTTGTCCATATGGGGGTGTGCTGGGAAAAGGTATCAGTGGAAAGGTGAAGCCTTAAGGGACCTGGATAGATTATTTCAAACATTTCCAGTGCCAAAATATTCCGTAGCACACTGCCTTCCAGTACTATTGGCTTGTATGCCTCTCCTGAGACTTTTAAAGTGGTTAATGTGGTCTTACCTTAAAAGCAGACTCTAAATGAGTTTTTTGTGTGTGTCTGGGATAAAAAGCCATTTATAAGTTAGATCAGCCTATTTTCAGTAAATGGGTGTCTGTGTAGTATTATCTTTAATTTGGATTAGAGTGTCCAGAAAATGTGAATTTGGCAGTGACAGAGATGGAAGCTTATTGCATGGTGAAAAACATTGAAGTTTTATTGATGTAAAAAGCTCCCGCTGGCAGTTATTTTCTCTGTAAATGTCTGCCTGTGATTTGTGATCTATGAGTGATCTACTTATTAAGTCAGCAGTTTAATTTTCATTAATGCTGATTTGGACAGAGTTAGAATTACAAAGCTCTGGCATAATAAGGTCATGTCCAGGACTATATTTCAGGAATAAGACATTTAAGCATATGGCTGCCTGTAACTTTAAGATTAAGTTTCACTGGGCTGGCTCATTTGCCCAGAGAGTGGGAAAACACCCAATCCATTTATAACGCATAAACTTATCTCTGGTCATTAAACGGTAAAGGATCACATGTCCTCAGAGGCGTAGCAAGGTCATGGGACACCTGGGGGCATGTCCTTAGTTCCATGCCCAGACAAATTCTAGGTACCTTGTCTACATACTGTCTGTTCCCAATTCATATACAACCCCACCCCCCCACCCCCCCTCCGCCATACAATCTGATCCCCATGCAAAACTGTCTGTTACACAATGCCATTGACTCTGTGCTCGGACTCCCTCAGCACCCTGAGCGTGGCTGAGACCTTATCACACACACACCGGATTATGCACTAAAATTTAAGGCCAAAGTACCGGAATTGGAAGCATAGCTGAAGGGACAATGAAGTGGTCTGGGTGCCAGGTCCCTCAGGTTTTAACCCTTCAGATGTAAACATAGCATTTTCAGAGAAACTGCTATGTTTACATGGCAGGGTTAATCCAACCTCTAGTGGCTGTCTTCCTGACAGCTGCTAGAGGCGCATCCAGCGCATCCAGCATGCATTGAAAAATGCTTTCCTATGGACTGTTTGAATCCGCGCATGCACATTCCACTCCACTCGGGAGCTGACGTCGGACGGGGAGGAGAGGTCACCAGCACAGAGGGAGCCTGTCGCTGGATAAAGGTAGGCTGCTGAAGGGGTTTTAACCCCACCAGTGCCAAGGGAGGGGGACCCTGAGGGTGGGGGCACCCTTAGGGCGCTATAGTGTCAGGAAAACGGGTTTGTTTTCCTGACACTATAGTGATCCTTTAAATTTGAAATTTGCTTTGAATTCTCTCTTTAGTAAATGACTTTGACAGTGTTCTGTCACTGCACATCATGGGGTACTGAGGATGCTGGAGACACAGAGGACAGATGACAGAGATGAAGTAGAGTCCGGTTATGCTGCATCACTTGCGGTGACGGCACAGCTCGCTCTGGTAACGGTTTCTTGGTCAGCGTCAGAGATAAAAGGTTATTATCATGAGGCATTTGTAATATACCTCTAATCTCCCCAGTGGTCCCTCTGCCCTTTAACACTGCTGTTCACTGTGCAAGGCCCTAAGCAGTCACTTAACTGGCCTAATGTTGGCCTCGTGTTACCCCTTCAGATAGCTGACCCCCTGCCTTCTCCTCATTCATTAAGCTTGTCAGAGGGCAGGAACATATCACAATGCCATTTCCCCCACAGTGGTTCACACTTGGCACTTTTGCCCTGAAAAGGCACAGATTTGATTGGGCATTGGAAATACAGCATAAAGAAGAGGGTGCCTATTGGCTATGCTGCTAAGGAAGGATGGAAGTACTGCTAGCAGGCTGGCTGGGGAATGCCGCTAAGCCCCTCGACTTCCCATTATGGTTATTTTTGGCATATAGCGTCACCTTATTCCGCAGCACTTTACAATAATGTCTCAAACCAATAATGTCTCCAGTGTAAGGGCAACCCTGAAACAATGAACATGCTGATCTTTACATCCGCACATCTACAGCTTCTCAGGAACACCAATGCAAAAATCTAGTCTGTAATTAACAGTGGGAATGGGTTTTTATCTGACACTAAAACCAATGCTTCCAGATCAGGTGATTAAAGGATCACTATAGTGTCAGGAAAACAAACTTGTTTTCCTGACACTATATACTCCCTAGAACCCCCCACTCACCCTCAGGGTCCACCTCCCTTGGCGCTGAAGGGGTTAAAACCCCTTCAGTTACTTATTTTAATCCAGCGCCGGGCTCCCTTGGCGCTGGTGACCTCTCATCCCCTGCCAACGTCAGCTCCCGAGTGGAGCAGAATGTGCATGTGGGGCAAGAGCCACGCGCGCTTTCAATTAGTCCATAGGAAAGCATTTCTCAATTCTTTCCTATGGACGTTTTGCACGCTGGATGCAATTTTCGCATTCCAACGTTGCAGAAGAGCCTCTAGCGGCTGTCAGGAAGACAGCCACTAGAAGCTGGATTAACCCTGCAATGTAAACATTCTCTGAAACTGCTATGTTTGTTTACATCTGAAGGGTTAAAACCCGGGGGACCTGGCACCCAGACCACTTAATTGAGCTGAAGTGGTCTGGGTGTCTATAGTCCCTTTAAGATACAGCTGCAATGGCTGAAGAGATGCAGCACTGGATACACAAAGAATCACATAAACTAGGTGGTAGGAAGCCTTGGCAATCACATAACTAATCTTCCATACATGTATTGTGCCAGGACACAATACTTAATCACAGCAGAGCTTACACAATCCTTAGTACACTCCTTGTCTCTTATTTGCCATTGAGCTGAGTCAATATTAGCATTACATGTTTCATCTTTTTAAAGAGTGTATGACCTGCCATTATATTTTAATAGCAATAGATCGGAAGAACTTTAAAACTCACTGGTTGAGACTTTACAAAGCATCCTGTCAGGATATCCAGAAACCAGGAAACCAGTGAGAGAAGCTTCCTGAGAATGCCCACCTCCCCTCCGATACCTACTCTTGTAATATACGAAATATGGTCTAAACACGAGGGAGATAAATTGAGTTACTTTATATATAGTAGACTGTGTAAGGCATCTGAATATTTTGTTTCCGTATGTACATTTGGAATATTCATGAGGATTATGTTGAAAGTTACATATGTTACATCAAAGGACATACATTTCTAGGAAATACTTATACACACTGTGACTGCTTTTATCTTTGAAAATGCCCTCCAGCTGGTTTATACCTGCAGAACTAAGAATTTGTCAACCATTCGGGGCTTGCTTAGGAAGCTAGAAATTGTATCTTTAAATAAATCAATATATATATATTTAAAGATACAATGTATATATATCAACAGCAAAAACAGATGTGAGGAAGGCTGAACTTGATGGACGCAAGTCTCTTTTCAGCTATGTAACTATGATATATATATATATATATATATATCTCTAAGACTAGCAGAGCACCATGGGAAATGTAATCCATAACTGTCTTACATGCATGCGTTCACGTAATAAAATATACGTTTGGATTAATATCCATATCATGGCACAACAGGGTACTATGCTACAGAGATCCAAAGCTTGGGGTCAGAGACTGTGCACAACTGCAAATTTCCCCAAGATTTTCAACTTTCATTTGTATCACGAATACAATCTTGATGGCCTTAATCATACAGTCAGAATTCATAGGTTTGGTGGACTGTATATATCCTGCCAGTTTCAAGATGGATGAGAAGCTAAGCTATACCTCCCGTCCCAAGAGTAGTAGAACTATGATTTAATGAGGCATGGCACACGCAAATGCAATCTCACACATGTGTTGTATAAAGCACTTACAATTGTTCAAATAGTCCATTTACATCTTGTTATTACATTTTAGTGTGCTTGTTGTGTCTCTTACCCAAATTCCAAACAAGAAGGTCATAATGTAAGCATAACGGCCACATATAGTAATAAAAATAACTGCTAAAACATGGTATTTGTAAAGTACAGGCCATCACAGGATGCTATTGTCCAAAGCACCAACTCCTTCCACTCTGACTCTGGAATACAGTCAGAGTAATTCTGAGCTATAATGGTTCTTGTGCATTGCGGTTACAAGAATTTGGTATTTTGTAATATTTCTGTGTGAGGCATAGGGATTGACTGGAGGCTCAGCAGAATAATGTGTTTATCTGATGGGTGAAGATTGGGCTGGAAGGTTATTACTTGAGCTTAATAAAGTGGTTGGTGTGTATAGATCATGCCTCTGAAGTTTCAATGCTCAGTTCTCTGCCATTTAGGAATCAAATCACCTTTGTTTCGGTTTATGCAGCCCTAGCAACACCTCTCCTGGCTGTGACTGACACAGCCTGCACGAAAAAAAAAATGCTTTCATTTTCAATCAGATGTAACTTAGGGAACACTAGGGCCAGGAACACAAACATGTATTCCTGAGTCTCCTGCCCCTATAGTATTAAAATCACTCTCTAGCCCCTCTAAATATAGTTAAACCTTACCTTTATTCCAGACTGCCGGTGTTTGCCTTCCCCCCACTCCTCCCGATTTGCCTCCTTTGCTGACATCATCAGAAGTGATGATCTCAGACAAGGAGGCGGGCCATGGTGTGAAGCCTCATAGAGATGCATTGAATCAATGTATCTTTTTGGGGAAAGTTCAGTGTCTCCAACCAAAGCGTGGAGACATAGAACATCAGTGCTGCTTCCCTTCAGTGGCCATTTGTGTGACTGCCCTGGAGGTATCCCTAAACTGTAATGTAAACACTGCCTTTTCTTTGAAAAGGCAGTGTTTACATCAAAAAGCCTGCAGGGACAGTCTATACTCACCAGAACTAACTACATTAAGGTGTTCTGGTGACTATAGTGTCCCTTAAATGTAAAGGTTTTTATCTGCTGGTCAGTAAATGGAGAAACTGCTATGTTTACATATGGGTTAATCCAGCTTCTAGTGGCTGTCTCAATGGCTTCCGCACTTCTCACTGTGATTTTCACAGTGAGAAGACGCCAGCGTCCATAGGAAAGCATTGAGAATGCTTTCCTATGGACTGACTGAATGCGCGTGCGGTTCTTGCCGTGCATGCACATTCAGCCGATGATGTCAGAAGGAGGAGGAGAGTCCCCAGTGCGGAGGGAGCCCGGCGCTGGAGAAAGGTAAGTGATTAACCCCTTCCTACCCCTAGAGCCCGGCGGGAGTGGGACATTGAGGGTGGGGAGGACCTATTAACACTATAGTGCCAGGAAAACGAGTTTGTTTTCCTGGCACTATAGTGGCCCTTTAAGCTAAAGACATTTTGGTGACTATGTGTCCATTTAATGGCTATATTGGTTTACCTTGTGTATAGGAAAGGATTGGAGGAAAATGGTATAAACTTGCAAGCAGATTCCCCACTAACAAAACAATACATATGAATTAATGAAAAACAAACAATCATGTGTTTGCCAATCAAAGGAATATAAACTCAAAGATAACAAGATTAACAGTATGTGAATACTTTCTGGAAGTTTTATTGCATAGTTGCTCAAACCAAAAAGAACAGAGCCAGCAATCAAGTTCAATAAAATGATACATGGAAATACAATGAGTATTTGATCTTCATTCCACTTCACACTTCCCTCAAACATTTGATCATCTTTTTAAGATGCATACGTCCATATGCATAACATTTCAACATAAAACTAATATCTACAAATGAGTTATAAAATAATGGAGCATAGTCTAAAATTTCATGTAGTTATAACAGAAAGATAAATTAAAGATGGCTGCACAGTCCTAGTGTCAATCACCATAGGGCTGCACAATACTGCTACTTAAAACTTGCACTTGTTTACTAAACCCATTTTAGCAATATGCCCCATTTAGTGTTTATCAGTTCCAAAATTTCCATTACATATCAGTGTATTCGGATAGATCACAGAAGATGATTTATTAAAGTGTATGCAGAACAATAATTTATCCATTATTATTGGACAATAATGTGTCATTAAAAAAACATGCTTGCAGTTAACTTGTACCCAGTATCATTGTAGAACTGCATCGCTGACAACCCACTGGCAATGAGTGTGGAGGCATCCTTAATCATGGAGAATGGATTAATTTGGATCAGGTACAATCAGGTTGTTTCTGTGAGTTTGTGGCAGTTCAATGCTGTTGAACTATTTTCCTTGTAAAATGTTGGGCAATACATAAATCACCAGTAGCTATAAACTACAGTCTGAGCGAAAAGCATTGTGGATCTGCCAGAACCCCATGGCTGGTTGAGCTTCAGGAAAATGCAGTTCAAAAATCTGGGCTACCAGAACGAAATATTTTTGTACTAAAGCTTCCAACTCTGTTGGATCTCAAGTGTCTTCAAACAGGTCCTAAAAGCACAGACAAGATCATCTTTAGAAATACCTAATTGTTCTACTCAGCTGAAGAGAGAATTTGACCACGTTACAAAAATATTTGATATGCCTCTTTAATATACCATTTCCGTAATCATCCCCAGATGAGCATTTTTTTTAAATAATTCCAGCTCAATTGATTTGGCCTACATATTTTAAAATGTGTTTGTCGAATCCCCACGATTCATTGCTTAGTGGAAAAACTATTAAACCTTTTTTATTTAACACACCAAACCTGAAAAGAATGTACTCCAGGCTATCTGAATGCTTGGCTATTTATATATCCTAAGTAAAACACGTTAATGCCTCCGTCACTTTCAAGGCTCCCCCTGTACTTATGCCCTCAATGCAACATGTGAAATATAAACCAGCTGCGATTGGACTACTACTCTCACAACTCTGAGGCAAATAATCCCAACCCTGGTAAACAAAGAAAAGTTTAACATGCAATGCTGGTGTAGATGATAATTTACACTACCACTTGCCTGCGTCATTCCTTACAAATATCCCATATATATGTAATAAACCCATAATTAACTCTTCACATCTCTAGAACCTACAGTAAAATAACACTCCCTAAAGATCATGCACATAAACATTTTCTTTGAAAGTCGGTGAAAAAAAAACCAAACTAGAAAAATCTATTACACAGGATTCATATGTAAATGTTGTACAGCAACTAGACCTAGAACATTGCCGTTAAAATGCCTGGAAAGTGGCAGGTTTGCGAATCATGTCATAGGATGCTAGGATTGAAGTCAGGAGACTGAATATTTCAAGAAGTGCAATAGGGGGAATTGGTGCATATGTAATCTTACTGAAATAAATATGCTACAAGTTTATCTGTGGGTGTTTGTAAAAATGTATGTACACTCGCAAGCATGACAGTGATTTAAGGTATAGATTTCCAGCGGTTGATGAACTAAATGATAATTATAAAATGTGTTTTAAACAGATGCATGTTTACACACATCATGTTATGTAGTGATATTGCTTAATGTAGCTGCACATTCGAAAATTCAAACAATACAGTTTATTTCATTTATCTATATTACTTGTATTTACCCCTTTGCATGAGCTAAAAATATATATATCTTACGGTTTTGTTGTACACAACTTTGTAATGTAAGCTAATAGACTTTCCTCTAAGGTAGAAAGCTATTATTATGAAACCCTTAAAATCTATTAACCTTCTTAATGAAGAATAAAAGAATTTCCTCCAATTCCTTTAATAACAGCATCACAATAGATAATCTCAGCCAATCCAAAGCGGAGGCTGGTGCCGCACTGAGCCAGACAGATTGAAATAGAAGAACGCCACTAGAGGCGTTTAAACCCTGCAATGTAAACATTCCTGTTCTGCAGAACTGCAAAGTTTTACACTGCAGGGACATCGCACTCAGACCACTTAAAGGGACACTGTGTGTCCCTTTAACTAAAGTAGCTATCAAATACATTGTTTGAGGACGGGTTCATATATATATATATAAAAAGAACATTAAAAACAATTGAACAACACTACCATCATGTTGTACATCACTTAAAAGATTCACCTATATTTCTTATTCATGACTGTGTTCCTTTAAACTGCTTGAATATAATGTGAGTTGTAGTTTAACACATGCGGTTCCACCTTTTGCCTAAGCCCACATCCCATTTACGGAGTCTCCCTGACCTTGCACTGAGAGAAGTGGAGTTACAAACTGAAGATATTGTTGTTATGACAATAGTTCCCTCGTGTATATTTGTTTAGGGCAGTGGGGCTTCTCTTTGGTTGCTGCATGACATGTTTATAGTTCTGTTGATTGGTTGTCAAGGCAGGACTGTCTCTCTTTCTCACATAGGCCGATTAAAAGAAACCCGACAGGCTGCATTTAAGCTTGTGCCAAACTCAGTGTAAATTTACTCTTAACTTTTTTTTTAACACTGCTCATATTGCAGACCTATAAATGTTCCTTTGCATGTAGACCTATGGTAAAGAATATATAACTTCCATTTGCAGCACACTTTGAAATTCACGCAGCACACCTTTTAAACACGTAATTCCTGGTGTTCATGAAGGTTGGACATAAAAAGAAAAACACTGTAAAAAAAAGTTTTAAATTGTTCGAAAATATCATAGAAAAACCTAAAAAAGAAAATGTAGTTTCATGTAGCGCCATGTCAAACTACAAAGTAAAATGCCAGGAATTGACTAATCAGTTCAAATACTCCATCTCTGTTACTCTATGGCTGCATTCCACTTTACAAGACTGATTAGTTTTCTCCTTAACACTGTCTATACTTGGCAAATCCATGCTTAATACCCAATTCTGTAATCACCATATATATTACACTATGCTCTCTACCTTCTAATCAGCAGTGACTGAAAGGCATCCGCCAAATGTTCTAGAACTTCAAATCCCATAATTCAACATCTGGTGATGTCTACAAGTTGCCTATCACTACTCTAACATTTCTATAGACTGATATAAGTAGCAGACATGATACCCTGGGTTCCATTGTATAGTTAGACAGAATGTTCCATGTATTCAATATACTTCCTACACCAAATGCTGCTGTGATTAAAATGCATCACTGTTTGCCTAATGGACTGCTTACTTAGGTTGCCTTTGAATGTAACACTCATTCCCTGAAGATAGCTATGAGTAAGCAGTGTACATTATGATACAGATAGTTAGTCCAGTCTAGCATATTGCTTTTCAAGCCCTTGGCCAACACCTCCCATGATATGTATGTTCCCAAGCATGGTTGGAATAGTTTCTCCACAACAGCTGAAAAACTACAGATTGGCTATCGACCTATTCTAGTGTCCCACCACCATTTGGTGATGGCAGCTACGTATGTTCCAATTGTTCCGTACCCATATCAGTGAACCCCTACCAAGATCAACCAGTTTCCTCCCTATGCATATTTATCATTTCAACCATTCTTCATTTGTCCAAAGTAAAACAGAAGGAGCTCTGAGCTACCAAATAAACAGGTGCAATGTAAGACCCCACAGGGAATCCCAAACTAAGTATGGGCAAGGGGGTTGGGGGGTCTTTCAACTAGCAGCTCTACAGCTGTTGGTGAACATTAGTTTCAATAATCCTTTGAGTTAAAAGTTTGTCAACAGCTAGCGAGCTACAGGTCATTTTCCCCCTGCTATATACCTACCCTAAGTGCAAAATATATCTCTTGTGGATTACATAGGGTTACATCAAGAGAATTTGATCAATAATGCCTTTCACAAAACAAATGAATTTTACTCAGAAAATTAAACAATATAAATATATGGATTAAAAACACTTAAGTATTTTGGGACGTCATTTGCATCTTTGATTGTTTCATTGGAGCTTTAAATGCTTAGTCAGTCCCGCATCACCCAAAACAGAATTCTTTAAAGGTAATAAAAAAAATATTAATATGTGATATATATGTATCTACTTCGCTTCAACTGTAGAAACAGATTCATATCTTACAGTTGAAAAGCAGGATAAAAAGAGGTTCTTTTTACGTTTGAATAGAATATAAGTAACTCCCTGGGGATAAACTGCAAAGAGGATCCCGATACTATATATATATGGATTACATTTTTAAAACACTTTTTTTTTTTTTAAACATACGGCATGTTTTCGTGCTTTCAGTAAACCTATCCTTGAAAATATTGTTTTTGTTTTTTTTCTCCAAAATACTCCCTTTGATAGTTTTACAGATGCAGTTGCTTTTGTGTATCAAAAATGTTGTCAGTTACAATTAGTTACAAAAAAATTATAGTGCTTAGTAAAATAAACAATAAAATCTAATATGCGTAGAAAAAATAAAACAGTAAATAAAAAAGTGTAATCACATTGTTTACAAAAAAACAAAAAAAAATGTTGTTGGTACCAATCTGGTCATTGTTATAATATTGTAGTGTATAACTAGTAGTGAACTCAATGCTACTTTCAAATTGGAAGTATTTCTAAAAGCAATACAGTAATATACTGAAAGACAACTATAAACGTAGTGTTTGTGCTTCTGCAAAAAAAAAAAAAAAAGAAAAGAAAATCTAGGTAGCTTGGCTTTAAAACTACTTGTCAACCTATTCCCAGCACAAACTTTCTAATATTACAATGATTTGTAAAGCTTATATTAAAACAGGTTAAAATGCATTAGGATCTGTAGTTATAAATATAGTGTACATATATTGCACAGGTGCATTGTATATCTGTGCTTGTAACTCATAGTCTAAGCTCTATTTCAAAACCAAACCCATCTGCACAACAGGATGCAAAAATATCACCAGCATCGGTGCCTCACGTTGTATAAATGTGAAACAATTTTGTTAATAGTAGCTGATAAGGCCCATCTCTTGAGCTTGCCCTTAGTAAAGTAGTAAAATACAAGTACATAAAATCCAAACAAAGAGCAATACAATTTTGCTGTATTATAAGTCAAGTCTAAAAGGCAGCTTTGTGAACGATGAACCCATACTGAGGCTCATCAGAAAATTCCCAGATGGAAGTAAAGCTTGGTTATGAAAAAAAAAAAAAAAAAAAAAAGGAAAAAATACAAAGGGATCCCGAGAGCAGACTACAGCCAGGTTAGGTAGGTGTCATTTTTGTTCAGCACGCACTCCACGTCATTGAGACTAGGAATCAAATCTTCAGACTCCAGGGTTCCCAAGTCGACGTTTGTTCCTGGCAGGGCATCGAGAAAATCTGGAAAACGTGTTTGTTGGTTCATATTCAAAGTTGGCTGGACCAAAATCTCGCCTGCACAAAAAGAAAACGATATTCTACATTAAAACATAAAATTTTACTAGACCGATCTCATAAATTATGTTCAGACAGTAGAGCAGAAAAAAACAAAAACCTAATGACATGAGCAGCGGCACCCCAATAGTTTTTTTTTTTACAAAGGAACATATGATTATGTAAGGCCACATAGGGCGCTTTTGCCGCACTGACTGTGTAAAACTCTGTCACGTGATGCGGGAGCCCCACAGGAAAGCATTGATTCAGCATTGGCGCTGGAAAAAGGTGAGTAAATCTTTCATTTTTTTAACTTCATTTTGCACCAAATGGTTGGACATTAATACTAGCAGGGATAGGTACAACAGAGTGTTAGCATTACCGATTTGTATTCCTAATGCTATAATGCTCCTTTAAGTTTGGTGGAGTTTACTCCATCTCCAGGGAAACAAGACTGGAAGAAATTATACTTACAGACGTAAATGGTTTCCACAACTGTATGGTCTAGTATGGTGATATATGCCAGTGATTGACATTCGTTTACGATCAATAATCAGACAACCGCAAATAGATAACTTGTATTTATCACTTACTAATATATCTTAATGCTAGATTATACGTCTCTCATTGCTAATCAAATAAATACCTGTTTCCATTTCTTCCATATTATTTAGGAAATCTTCAGGTGTTGTTGGTATGCTGTAACACCCCAGGCCTAGCCCGCTGTCTGTGCTTTGTTCTCTGGAGTGAAATGGCCCACTAATAAAAAAATGAAAAGCCAAAAATTAAACTTGCACACATGGTAATTCTTCTACAGCAGGGTTTCCCAACCCAGTCCTCAGGTACCCCATACAGGTCCAGGATTTAGGGATTACCCTGTTGTGTCTAAAGTGTTGTTTTTTTTTTTCTAAAAACACCTTAGACACAACTGGGTAATTCCTAAATCCTGGACTGTTAGGGGATACTTGAGGACTGGGTTGGGAACCACTGTTCGACAGTGAAGTAGTTATCTGAACTAGTCAAATCATCGACAAATACATAAAGCAAAAAATAAAATAGCTGGTTTTATATGACAGTGGTTTTGAATAGTATGTCAGAATTGTGCACTGAAACTGGTACTGTATTTAGAGATGAAGAACTGTGCACCGGAAAACATGCACACCAAACACAATTAAGCAGCACCGGAACATTAAATAAAGGTAATTAAATAAGATTAAGGGGAAAAAAATAAAACAGTATTGCTTTTGGGTTTGCAGAATATTATAACAAGTTTTCTAAATAACATAGACTGTTTAAAGTAACTTGCCTGTTGAGGAAAGGGTCAGATCCATTGTTTGTTATAGATCGTATTTCCTGAGGCATGGCAGGTGGGCTCACTGAGGTCTGAACAGGAGCCATGTTTTCAGAGTCCACAGGAAGTTGTCGGCATAATGCAGCTTCCTGGAGAAAGAAGAGTAGAGGGTAAGACATTTTGTGGGCACAAATAAGAAATAATAAGGCACAAGGGCTAATACACTAAAAACAATACATTTGACCAACTTTTGTTATACGTGTACTACTATATATAACTATATACTTGCCAAATATCTGCACCCCACAAACCCATCAAGCCCCACAAAGCAGAGATTCAGCTTCTGGGAGGCAAAACACACCTGTCGATGCCGTTCTTTCAGCCCACCAAGCAGCCCAAGCTGAGGTGCAAGATCGGGGCCTACCACGCACTGCCAATCCAGGGCTTGGAGGCACTACTACAGGGTATCGCGGAGGAAAGCATCCCGAGCGCTCTAAACACATCACCTACCCGGGAAGACCGTAAGCCAGCCATGGGACGTCGATCCCAGAAACCAAATGCTCCATTAAGGGCAGGGACATAGGCTCCATGCTCCAGTGGCTTGCACAGCCCAGGCTGACTCCTGCGGATGCCCCACGGGATACACCTCTGGCCGCTTGGGAGGAACGCAAGGAGGCTGAGACCACACACGATCCTCAGATCTGCCCGGCTCCATCACCAGAGGCTTATGACGGCTCAGCACCCACAACTAAAGATGACCTTTCAGACACACTAAAGGTATGGGCCGCAGACCTGATGCTCATCAACACTAACCTACAAGCAATTACAGACAGAGTGCGAGCGTCCGAGGAGGACATCATTTACATCCGCACGGATCTCTCTACTACTAAAGATTATATAAAACAGCTCCAAATACATCAGTCGGCCCTGTCACTCAGAATGACTGCCTTTGAAGACAAACAACGCAGCAATCATATTAAGATATGCAGTGTCCCAGCCACAATCTCAAGTGACAAATTACCGCATTATACTAGATGGCTGCTGGCAACACTATATAAGGGACGTCATACTCCGATGCATGTCCTATCAGGACAAAATTCAAATCATGCAGGCCCTGAAAGGCAGAGCACCATTGGCCTTAGAAGGTGCATCTCTCTCCCATTCTTCCAAGACCTCACAAGGGCCACACTCCCATGGCGCAAATCCATAGCTCCTGTCACATCCCAGCTGAGAACCGCAGGGGTGGCCTACCGTTGGGAACCCCCTGGAACCTTACTGGCTACAGATAATGGGACTGTGCACACTCTACCTACAGGAGACCTACCTTCTTTACATCGCTGGGACTGGAGGATCGGAGTGTGGGACCATCCTTTGGGGATTCCGCTGGTGCTGGATGTGCTCATGCAGAGCATGAGGACGTCCAGTGTCACTTAGAGGACCTAGAATCCATTAAGATCCCAGAAGCGCCTTTAGCAGCTGTCTGGTAGTCAGCCATTATAGGCTGACTTAATACTGCAATGAAAACATTGTAGTTTCTCTAAAATGAGCTGAAGTTGTCTGGGCCTATAGTGTCCCTTTAATATTATTATATTAGGTATTTGGTTTACTTATTTTCCAGGGTACTTTTGAAAACCTTCCTTTTGTAAAGATGCAAATGTCAGTATAAAAGGTTGGAAAGCTTTGCTCTTGTACTATCAGTCACGTTAAAAGATTGAGAACTGGATTCAAGCTTTTACTTAAACAAATCTAAGACAGTCAGAAAATATTAATATTTAGACCAGATGTTCTTTTATAAAATTGGTGACTTGGCTTGGATTTATCATTTTAAAAACAAACCATGTGGGGCAAGGTCCTAAGAGCTTTTTTTCCCCAATACTTGCACCAACCCTAAAATTAAAAATGGATTTATTTATCACAAATATATATGTGCAAAGTATTTGGCACACACCAGATGTAAGATAATTTGAACAGCAAGTGCTTCAACAGGCTGGGGAGGGATTTTTTTTCTCCCGTTTTAATATTTACTTCCTGGTATATTGAGTAACTAGTTCACTGCTCTTAAAGTTCTTTTTTGACTGTCAGGAGAAATTACTTGACTGATCTTGTTGGAAAACAGATGGAAAATCAAATAAAAAATACCTTGTGCATTGTCACGGTATAAAATTAGTTCAATAAAAATCCATGAATGCCACGAATATTTGTTTAAAAGAAGCAAAATGTGCCTAAACTGAGTGGTTCAGCATTGAAACAGGTGTTTTTTTAATTATTAAACCAAACATATTTCAAGGGAACAAAACAAGTTGGCCTTGCACATTGTGTATTAATCCCTTAAAGACTAAATGTTACACTTTGCCATCAATACAATCTGTACACTAAGGACCCGATGCCAGCATTAAATGTCCTGTTTTGTTGCCAATCTACTTCTCCTTGTGATAATTAATTGTGGTTTCCATTTTGGAATATAATTTTATGATGGTATACATACATTCACATTGATCCTTTAGGGGTTAATACACCAATCCCATTCAAGTATTGTGTTTATACTTTACAGTGTTAGCCAGACAACTATTAACTGCTTTGATTTTAGACCGTGAGGTCTTCTAACCACACATAGAGTTGCTATGACTTGGCAATCAATTTGCACAATTAGACCAAACTAGATGAAATGGACACAATTGAGATAGTCTAAACTCTAAACTGAAGATTTTGCCTACATCTCTTAATTAATCTGGCCTTGTAAACAGGCAAAATTAGACAACTCATTAGCAAACACAAAACAAAAAGTTGCTCTCAAATGAAGTTGTAGTTACTGAAAGTTGCAAAACCATGAAATAGTTCTGCTTTACAAGTCAAAGTGATTAGTTTCTCTTTTCTTGGCAGGGGGTGGGGTAAAGCACCACAATTGAATAGTTTTATAACCCCTTTGGTATTCTACGGATTAATTAAAAACTACCTTAACAGAATATATGAGCCGTTTAAAAATATAATAATGTCATGTTCTACAGTTAGTAATTTCTGGACCAGCCAGTCTTCTTTCATGCTGGCATAATAGCATGATTCCCTGATATTAATTATTCATTTTATACAAATAATATATATTAATGACAAAGGGCCAGACCTAGATTCCATAATTACGTTGGCCAATCGACCCAGAGCCATTGGGTGGGTGAGCATCATTCAAGGTATATCACACTCAACCTTGAGGAACAAGGAAGGAATATGAATCATGCTTCGGGAGGAACCAAAGCAAGGCACGAGATGCAGACTGCACGTGTACCTATCTGCTCTTTAATTTCACTAAATGCCAAAACTCTACTGAAGCTCTGTTAACCCCTTCAGGGTCAATTAGGCCTGCTTCTACTCTCAGATTCTAGGTCCTAATGATGGCCTGCTCATGTTTAATCTCCTGCTTGCTCATTCACCATAAAGAAGAGCACCAGTTTTGTAAATAAGTAAGGCATTGCATGACAAAATAAAATCGCTTTGATGATAGTAGGAACTTTTACAGAGATTTACCCAATTGTCAAGATGCTATTAATGGTTAACAATTAGTTCTCTATTTGGTTAAATATCCTGGCTATTTTTCCTGCACTCACATTTTTTAGTGTTACTTAGTTATGTAGTTAATACAAAAAATGCATTTTAGGGGTAAGTAAAAATAATTATCCAAGTACATAAAACAATCAAGAGGGTACATAAAGCTGTACGAAGAGAAAATCAATCATACTTTGGATAAAGAGGACATGAGATACCTACAATCAGACTAAAATACAATAAAAAAAAATCAAACAAATAAATTCCAGTTTAAGAAGATAGAAAATTAATATTTTATCCTGTATTATTTAGTAGAGTAAATGGTGATCATTACCATGGATCTGCCAAATAATTGTGGTTTAAAGAACTGTCCCTTGAAGCAAATTCACTGCATGAACTGTCATTGTATTTCTTAGTTGCCACATGCAGACAACAAGACAACAGGGAAACTATTACTTACAAGTAATCTTATCTGGCTGATGACAGTCTATAGGTAGACACTCTGCTGGAGACCTTTGCGAATAGTTCCCTGCAAGCAAGCAGCAATATAGCTGGAGGGTGTACATTAGGGTATCAAGAGCTATTCCATTATAGGATAAGTTATACTAAGATCCTAGCCTGAAGCACTGATCAATTACCAAATAATAACAAGACTTGTCATGCAAAACTACCAAGCGGTCAACTTGATTTCAGTTTATGTTTGGTATCTACTTGCATTTAAAACTAAAATGTACATAAACTATGCTAGGATATATAACATCTACATATGTGTACAATAGCTTTAATAGAGACATTTAGATTTTTGGCAATCAGCCTATGCTTGTCACTGCAATCCTTAGAAGAATGGTATAAGGATGCAACCCATAACCACTGGATGCTAGTGACCACAGCATCATCCCCCAACCGGCCAACCCTCTCATGGTGGTATGAGTTGGCAGTAGCATGTACAAATATATTTATGAGTCTAGAGTTGGGCCTCATGCCATAAAGTATATGATATTGCAACAGTTTTGATTCACAAAATACTGAATAATGGATAGATAAACATACGACTAGTAATCCATGAAAAAGTTATGCAGACAAAAAAAAAAGTATGAAGTATGAGAGCCCAACTCAAACAAGATTATAATCTTACAGTCTAATGAGAAAAGGATATGCTGTGATTCCATAAAAGACAAAACGGCAAAGTATCCTGAAGTGAAGATAAGAATACCAGGTGTACATACTATTATATTAATTATAGTCTATATACGGAGAGATTGGGAGGGCAGCACATGTGATGCAAAGCGGTGATACACTACTATAAAGGAAGGGGATTAGTTGGCTAGTTCAGTTTTTCAACAATTTTTTAAAAATCTTATCCATCTCTTCAATACTCAGTGACCCACAGAGTAAAACTGGTATCTTTAAAAACCTAACCCCTTTTAATATCCACCTACCATGTAGAGAACTGCTATGTTTTTAAATCCCAGCCCCTTTCATTATTTACCCTATATAGTAAACAGATATATTTTAAATCCCAGCTGTTCTCCATATTCACCTTATATAGTAAACAACCAGTTGCTCACAATATTCACACTATATAATAAACTGTATATTTTAAACCCGAGCCCCTCTTGATACTCATCGTGTATGGTAAACTGCTACCTATTAAATCCAACTCTCTCTTAATATTCATCCTATATAGTATCATGGTAGTGCAATTTAAATTTCCCTTTTACAATACTTCTATTTCATCTGTTTGTGTTTAATTTTCTCAGTGACACAAACTTACCGGTATATCTATCAAAGAAACTCCTGTGAATAGAAGAATTGTTTTTTCTTTCTCAAAGCATTCTATTTCCTTTAAGAGCAGAACCAAAAGTAGACACGCAGCCAATTACTGAAATTACAACTGTACTATTTTAATCCTAATCTTTAGTATTAGATAAACTAGAAAATGAAGGATTGCCGCTACACACGCAACGTGTATTTTTTTTCAGTGTTTAAATTATTACTGCTTTGAACCAATAATAACAGAACAAGCTTAGGAACGTCGCTCTGCGTCACCAAATTCTGAATGTATCCGATTAAAACGCTATGGATGTCTTTACAAGTTCCAACTAGTTCTTAACTATCTATTTAAGGATTTGCAGCAGCTGGGATTCAGATGGGCTGAAACCTCCACCAAAATATCCATTATCAAAGGACACAAAGAGTGACATGGCTGTGTGTCTCGTTCACGACCCTTTTGCGGTGACAACTTTAGTGTTTCTTTTATAGCAGTATTTTTGTTGCTTATACATTTTTATATTGCTTTAATCTCAAAAACAGATGCAATCTACATAAAATGGTCTACATTGACGAAATCTCTATACAAAACGTTTCGAAATATTGAATTTGGCTTTTGTGTCATAATCAGGGCTAAATCTACTATAACGTGGCACAGGTGGCTGCTGTAGGGTGCTCAATCACAGATCATCAGATTGGTGCAGCATGTTGTTTTTAATGTGCACTAGCCTCCCTTTGCTCTCCTACGGAAAAGCAACTGGATTGGCTGAGATCATCAGTCTTGATGATCTCAGCCAAGAAGGGGTAGAAGGTACCGTATATACTCGAGTATAAGCCGACCCGAATATAAGCCGAGGCCCCTAATTTTACCCCAAAAAACTGGGAAAACGTATTGACTCGAGTATAAGACTAGGGTGGGAAATGCAGCAGCTACTAGTACATTTCTAAATAAAATTAGATCCTAAAAAAATTATATTAATTGAATAGTTATTTACAGTGTGTGTATATGATGAATGCAGTGTGTGTATGAATGCAGTGTGTGTGTATGAATGCAGTGTGTGTATGAGTGCGCAGTGTGTGTATGAGTGCAGCGTGTGTGTATGAGTGCAGCGTGTGTGTATGAATGCGCAGTGTGTGTATGAGTGCAGCGTTTGTGTATGAGTGCAGTGTGTATGAGTGCAGTGTGTATGAGTGCAGTGTTTGTGTATGAGTGCAGTGTGTATGAGTGCAGTGTTTGTGTATGAGTGCGCAGTGTGTGTGTATAAATGCAGTGTGTGTATATGAATGCAGTGTGTGTGTATGAGTGCAGTGTGTGTTTGTGTTGCAGAGCCTTGGTGGGGGGTGGGCATTTTTATTTAAAAAAAATTATTATTTTAATTTTTTTTGTTATATTATTTTTTTTAAATTATTTTTCTATTATTATTTTTATTTATATATTATAAATGTATTTATTATTATTATTAATATATTTATTTATTTTGTTGTCCCCCCTCCCTGCTTGATACATGGCAGGGAGGGGGGCTCTCCTTCCCTGGTGGTCCATTGGCAGTTCAGTGGGGGGAGAAGGGGGGCTCGCAGAGCTGTTACTTACCTCTCATGCAGCTCCTGTCAGCTCTCTCCTCCTCCGCGCCGGCCCGTGCAGCTCCTCTGTCAGCTTACACTGTAAGTCTCGCGAGAGCCGCACTATGACCCCGCGGCTCTCGCGAGACTTACACTGGGAGCTGACCGAGGTGCTGCACGGACCGGCGCGGAGGAAGAGGAAGCTGGCAGGAGCTGCAGGAGAGGTAAGTAACAGCTCTGCCAGCCCCCAGTCTGTATTATGGCAATGTAAATTGCCATAATACAGACTGACTCGAGTATAAGCCGAGTGGGGGTTTTTCAGCACAAAAAATGTGCTGAAAAACTCGGCTTATACTCGAGTATATACGGTAAGTAAAAACACCTTTCTCCTTCACAGAATGGAGGAATGTAACCTAACTAGCTAGTAGGGCACTATATCATTTATATTCAAAACTTTTTCCATTCAGCTATTTTGTTCTAAAAGTTACTTTGAATTCACACTTTAGTGAACAACCCTCTCAGTTGTTATTTGTCCTGACTTTAAAAAAAAAAATCCCTTTCTAAAGTTCAAAACAGATCTGTGACGTGTCATGTGAGAAGATTTTATGGGACTCATGTTATGCCCCTGCTTGCATTATACAACGTGACAGCTCTAAGGCTTGTTTGGCAAATGCAATAAAACGTAGACACATGTTCACAAACACAGACACATACTCGCAATTGTATGTATTTTTATTATAAATTTATGTATGTGTGTTTATTTGCTGCAGATGTCGGGACATTAGCAACCTATCAATTTCAAACATGTGTCAGTCAAATAAAAAAAAAATGAGAACACTAGAATATATGACTACTAAGACATATGTGTCTTGTTTATTTTTTATTTCCCTTACATGCCAAGTTTTCATTTCCCCTTATATATTATTCCATACACAATGTTCAATCTGTACTTTCTTTATTTAAATATTCTGAATAAAAAATGATTGCTTTAATAAGTACAATACATTTTGCTCCCTGTTTGCTAGTAAATTCCCCTTCTATTCCCATCTCGATAAGTATTTGTAAATGATAGATAACATCAGTATCTCAGTTTACTGTAAATGGCTACAATCTCCTTGAAAAATGAATAAGTCACAAATGTTTGCAATTGTGTGAAACATTGTGTCGAGCATTTTCAGATGAATGATAACACCTACATCTCAATTAAATAGAAAAGCCTACAACTCTTCATTAAGATATAATAAGTGCAAGCTGTGGGATAAAAATAGACTTTCGCTGCTTTATATATAGCTATAGCACACTTTAATTAAGTTAATTGGTTGTTTAAGGAGATGTCCCTTGGTTTCACCGGGCAAAACACAAACAGCGGTAAGAAAACTCCCTGAAACTTGTATTCTCTCTGCAGGGTGTGCCTGCTCCCTACGCAGCAGCTGTCAATCCTCTGGAAGAATTAGGAACCCAACCATTGGCTGCTGTCAAGTGAAAAGATGAGAAACTCAATGTAGCACTGGCATTCCACACCCCTGCACCCAAACCCAATGGCCTCATTCCAGTTGCTCAGCAACTACAGCTACTACTAAGTCAGCAATTTTCTGAGAAGGTTACATTAAAGCAAACAATGCAAGAGTGATGGATTAGCATGGAGACAGCCTAGTTCTTACAATGAAATAGTCACAGGGGGCTTTTCTGTACTTCAATAGTCTATGGGACTGCATTTCCCAAAGCTTCATGACTCAGTAGCACCGTAACAAGGAATAGATGACTGTTTACTGGAATCTTATCTATCCTTTGTATGAATCCTAATAATATAAATATAGCTGTGCCTTATTTACAAATGTGATTCACTAAAATGACTATCGGAAATTCAAAGTGAATTTCATATTGTAGGGCAACATAGCCAAAATAGAAGCATATATTTCTTGAATATTTTGTAATAATTATAATATTTAATTATATAGTAAAATATATCTAATTATACCTTTTTGTCCTTAGATTTGAAATACACTTTGAATTCCCGATAATTCTCACGTTAGTAAATACGTTTGCTGTACTTCCCACTGCTACCTTCATTTTTCTGTCTAGTTACCACTAGGAACAGATCAGTGGAGCCAAATAGACACAACGTGGTGACTAATATAGCAAATCAGGTGCTATCCTGGATACAACATGCTAACGTTGCAACCAATTCTATTGGTTTCCATGGCAATTAGTTCTTGTTTAGCATAGTACCTGTGTTTTATTTAATAAATCTCCTTAAATTGAACCTTTACATTAAGAAGTAAAAACTATAACAACTGTTCAATACAAATACCTCTGACATCTGAAATCAAATAGGGAGGAATACTCCATGGAGTTCAGATCACAAAGGGATGAGAAACAATGACCTAGACTTAAAGTGAACCGGTTGTTGGAAAATTAACTTGCCTAAAAATCGCTCCCACGTACATTGAACACAACATATATCATAAAGATACTTGGCGTAGTCAATGTATAATATAAAGATTTCATTACTTTTCCTCTGTTCCAACATTGCTTTGTGGGTGTTACTCTTCGTGTAACACCATCCTCTTGGTCTTCCTCTGATCCGCCTGCGCTTGTCTCCAAGTCTTTTTTAATTTGCCCTGCTTGGGACGCATCTCCCATGCAGGGTAAGTCTTATCAGTGTTGTTGGCATACTGTTTTCGTTGCCACTGTTCTTCCATGTCATTCAAATGTGAAATAACATTATGTGGGCCATTTCCAGATGAATGATAACACCTAAATCTCAACTTAATAGAAATCCTACATCTCGCCACTGAGAAATAAAAAGTGCAAGCTGTGCAATAAAAACAGACTTTCACTGATGTTTTATATATAGCTATAACACATTTTAATTAAGTTAATTGATTGTGTAAGGAGATGTCTCTTGGTTTCCTAGAAGCGCCGGTTAGGGAGTTTCCATAGTTTTCATTGCTGTGGGTGGAGAGCAAACGGACCTCGTGTTTTAGGTCTTTGACTGACAGCTGGGAGAAAAACCTATTTTTAAATAGATTTTTCTCCTAATCTTTACATTTCCTAGCAAAACTGCTAGCACAAAGTACAGATAAAATCTTACGCTCAATCTAATGAGCATAAATTGTTATTAATCTAATGAGAAGAAGGTGCCCATTAAAAAGCTTACCTGTAATCTGAGCTCAAATTGTTAGGCTGAAGGAAAAGTTGTGATATACGATCTGGATGCATGACCTTTTTTTCTGAATTGTAAATAAACAGTGACTGTGTAATGCTCTATAAGTGGATCTAAACCCACTTCAGCAGTGCTCCTGATTTGTCAATATTCCGAGCCAGGGGTAATGCTTTTACACCCATAATGCTGGCAAAGCATCATGGGAGGTGTAGTCCAAAACATTTGGAGTGCCGAAGGTTGCCTATGCCTGTTCTGAGCTGTAAATCCCTCCATCGTGGACAGCTATGGGTCACTGGACCATTATCTTATCAGTGGATACAATGAACCTTAATCTGCAAATACTGAAATACAAGAGGTTTAGGATTTATTGGAATATACCAATAGTCTTAATAAACTCATTACTGAACATTACTGAACATTCAATGGGGAACTATGGAAAAATGACAATGCACATTTTATAAAGAAAATAATCAATTTGGAAATTAAGTTGAGATGGAGAAATATTACAGTTTGACTATTTTGAAAGTTAGTTTAATCTACACGTAAATAAAAATCAATTACGCTTAAAAACAAACTAAAATCAAAGCATATACAAGTTCCTAAATAAAGCAAAAAATAGGTCAATGGCCAAAAAACATAACAAATAGTTTAGCTTAAATCTATTGGCTGCTAGTCTAGAAACATTGTAAATGACTTAAGGAAACGGTGTCTGTAAAGAGACTTATCTATTTGTATTGACCTTTGTCAGGCTGGGCTGTGTTTCTTACTTATTCCTGGAAAGCTAAATGTACAAAAACACTGCTGGAAGAAAATAAACAAGGTCAGTGGTCATATGTCAGGCATCAGAGTCAAAGCAAAACGTGCTCTGTACTCTTTTCATAGTACGAAAGTTGATTTAATAAGCAATTCATGAGTCCAACATTTCCAATGAGCCTGGAAAGCACTGTGTTCAACTACTAGAGGTTTATTTTGTATCCTCTATTTCATTATACGCTACATTATGAATATTTCTTGTCTTTGGAAACTGCAGAAAGATGGGCCAAAGTGCTAAATATGGAGAAACAGTACAGAAAGTAATACAATGTCTCTCAACAGTCAGCACTTTGTATCTAGAATTCCTCCTGTTTTGCATTTGTCTCCCCATTATCTTTTTTCCCCTGAATCTTAGAGCCATTGCAAATGGTCCCACAGGTACATGCTTTGCACATGGATTATAATTTGTGTAGAACACCTCATATAACACTCGTTTGAGCAGGGTCCTCACTAACCTAGCGTTACTATCAAAATATGTAATAGTTTGATTTGTTGTTGATATGTTGGCGCTATATAAATGTCAATAATAATAATAACACAGCAACACATTTGGAATAGCCCATTGTTCTGTGGGAACATAAAAAGATGACATTCGACAGACAACCCAACCACTGCCACTTTCATCTCTTTACCTACTCAATACTTTTATTCCAGCTGGGGAAAACATAATTATACGTTAGGATCAATGACCCAAGTCCAACTCATAGGACAAACAGATTGTGAAGATAAAGGGTCGCCACTGTATTCCATCCAAATTTTACATCATAGAAACATTTGACAGAGAGGGGGCTAGAGAGGTAGACGTGCCTCTACCTACAGTTTGTGCCGATCCTTGAGGAAGTGCCTTATCAGCATGAAACACTTTAGCGGCTCTCCCTTTTGTGGCTTCCTTCCATACAGGGCCGTCTTTAAACGGGGCAGCTGCCCTGAGCCCCCTGCCTGAGTCCAAACCCTGTGTGCTGTGGCACCTTATGTAATCAGGGGCACCCAGCCCTTTAAGAGTGCTCCGGACCGGCCCCTTTCATGCTGCCTGCTGGGAGGAAGTGAGGTGTGATCACTTCCTCCTAAGTAACAAAGTGCCGCTGGGGAGGTGGAGGGGGTGGCATACACAGGAGGAGGAGAGGGACTGAGGAAGACAGACTCCCATCAGCCTTTGCCATCCAGCTTCCACTGGACCCCAGGGAAGCCACCCTTCTGTACCCAAAAGTTAAGGAGGGTGGCTAAAATATGATGTAAATTGATATATATGTGTGTGTATCTGGGTCTGAGTCAGTGCATCTTGCTATATGTATGTGTGTGTGTATGTGCCTGGCTGTGGTGTGTGAATGTGGCTGTGTGTGCGTATCTGGCTGTGTTTTTGTCAGTGTGTATCATGCTTTGTGTGTGTGTGTCTGTGTGTATCTGGCTATATGTACGTATATGTTTATGTGTATCTGTGTGAATGTATACCGGTGTATGTGTACTTGTGTGCCAATGTGTATGTGTATGTATGTGTACCTGCGTGCGTGTGTGTTTCTGAGTGTGTGTGTATATATATGTGTGTGTGTGTAAGTGTGTATCTATGCGTGTGGCAATGCATTCATCCCAGCATTCCAATGCCATCACTGCACACAAATACACTACTGTGTTCCAACATTACTGCATGTGTGTCTGTGTTCCTGTGTGTATCTCAGTGTTTGTGTAAGTGTGCATCTGTGTGTATGTGGCAATGCATATATCCCAGCATTACAATGCCTGCATGTGTACCTGTGTGTCTGTGTGTATCTGAGTGTGTGTACAGATTTGTGTCAGTGTGTATCTCTGTGTGTGTATGTGCCAGTGTGTTTTAAATATCCAGGATCCAATCAGATATAGTAGCCTTTATTGCTATACGTACAGGTATAGAGGAGAAAATACACAGATTCTGTGGGCTTTATCCAGTTTTGTTCCATTCCTAATCTCAAATTTACTTTTTGTTCGAAACATTGCGCGACTGTTGATTTACACCTAGGTTTCAATGTTTTATGTGTAATGAAAAACATTTTTAACTTTTTTTTTTTTTTTTATACCAACAATGTAATCTAACTTTAGGCCTAAAACAAATCCTATAACGTCAGAGAATGCACTAGTTATTTAGCCACTAGTTGGCACTTGGCAATAATTTTCCTCAGGTTCTCTTTCTTTAGTTGGGTTTGAAATTAAGGCCATTTTTGGGGAATGCATGAGCTTGGTAGTTTGAATGGAAAAAAGTCTCATACTATTGTGATGACAACTTTGGAAAGTTTAACACGTAATATGTAATGTAAATCAGCACTAACTACCTGTCGCATCAATTCTTCTTGGCGCATTCGGATCCGTTCTCTCTCCATCTGGATTCTCTGCAGTCTGAGTTTTTGCTGCTGTTGCTGTTGGGTGGTAAGGGCGTTGGGTAAGCTGATCAGGCCTGCTTGATGGTTCTGGCTGGGGTGAGTCTGTTGGGATATGGCTGGGCTGGGAGTCATTTGTTGCTGTTGATGCTGATGATTCATCACTGTGAGAAGACATATTTTGTTAGTTTGGGAGAAATCCATTATGGAATAAACATCTATATTTAGATGAAAAGAGAGATAGACACACAAGGTTGATACTGCTAAAGCAGAGGTTCTCATTAGTTTTAGCTATATTGACTAGATGGACATGGGCATTTGTTGAGATACAGGTATGTTTTCAAGTGTTCACAAAGAGTTTGACCCCATACCATGGGATTGGTGCATGAGACTCCGGCATCATAACCACTTAGGTGCACTATAGTGGTTATGGTGCTTAGAGCACCCCTTTAATCATGTTTATGTGTTTTGGTATTACTATATTTGCTACAAAACATTGATTATTTATTTTTCTAAGATTTAAATGTTATTTCACATTTTTTAGAGACTAAAGTAATACAATTACCAGTAGCACGAGCATGTTTTCCCTCAAACAGCATTTGCAGTAAAAAAGGCGCACAGAAATCAAAATAATAATAAAAAATACATTAACAATAAAAAAAGAAGTTTATGCATAAAGAAGATGAACAATGCTCAAATCATTGCATTAATGTAAACAAGTTTGAATACAGCACTACCTATTATAAACAAAGCAATATGTGGTGCTATGGTAACATTATGTTTTAGTTAAACTAACAAAAAACCATTACAGTCTTTGTTTGTCCCCAATCAACCGACTCCAGACGCATATAACCCCTATCACATTTTTGCCAGTGCTTTAAATTTGTACTTGAAACCTTATCTAAGGGAGTGTCCAGATATTTAAACTACAGCCTGGAAATGTGGGGAAAAAAATCCCTTTAAATAATAACAGCATATGAAGAGTTCATTGAAAGGTCTCTCTTGGAGATTAAGTAACCTACATTAGAACTACAGAAAGATTGCAAAATCTACTACAAAATAAAAGCGCAATTGAAATGTTTTCAGTTAGCCAGAGGAAAATGTATTAGAAAAAAACATGCGTATGCAACATAGATAGGTGATAGATCTGGAGTAGATTTTTGAAGCACCTTGAGAAGACACTTTTCAAAACACTTTGAGAAATCCTTTACAATATATCCAGTTTTTTGGATTCAATTTACATCACGCTCAGTCCGTTCTGTAGCGGAGAGTGATGGACATTGCATCATAAAGTGGTGGGCCAGAAGATACTAACCCTGCCGTAGGACCTGTGTACCCCTGGAGTTATAAACACGAGAGGAAGGTTATGATCTGCGATAGCAATGGTCTGGAGTGAGGTGGTTAGTAACCAGATTACTTTTAACTAAGTTTTTGTTTTTGCCTGTGTCAGCATTTACAGAAACTCATTGAGGAGAGTCCCCCAACCTCTTACAATACACGTTTGTGTTGAGCTTAGCTTATAAGACTGTCCACTATAATGAGTCAGGCATAAGAAGGAAAGAATTGCATTACAGTAAGATCCCACTGAACAAAGTATGTTTTTTGTTTTTTTAACAGCCCTTTTTTTCTTAACAAATAAGAAAAAGAAAATAGTGTCATCATTTTTTTGTAATTTATATGCATTTGTCGCACAGCAAAATAATTTTTCTAAAGTTTTATTTGTTTTTTCAAATATATAGAGCAATACAAAAACATAACAAAGTAACATTGCGATAGTAGTTTACAGTATCAAGGCCAAAGATTCATAAACTTGACACCCTTCTCCATTTTATCCATCACCGGTGTAGATCGATAATGGCTACAGAGAAGAATTGGGATGTTCTGATGAACATTTTTGCAAACCTGGTTGATAATGAACCTTTATAGATGGTTTATCCTTGAAGTGTACCTGTATTGCTAGCTAAATTACTGCAAATTCTTATGGCTGCGGATTCAACGAGGTTCTAGACGCATTCCATAGACACCCTTAGGGAGTTTGGCTCATGCGTAGCAAAACACAGTTCCTGTTTTTTAGCAAGAAAGTGGATAGAATAAACGTGGCCATAAAGGGATGTATTAATTATCCTCAGCTGGCATTAAGGGTGTAAATATGTACCAAGGAAACATTTACTGGATCAGTACAACACTGTGACTTGTCTGTACTGGTGACACAAGGCAGGATGAAGCATGGATTTTTGCAGTTTACTCAGTATGTAAAACAATTTAGCTGACACTGTCTATAAAAATAACCCGCACCCTGTTAACATTGAACAGGTAATACAGTTGGTGCATTATTCAACCGAGGTGTCTCCTTGATTTATTAAAGGACAATGATAACAAACTTTGAATTTCATTTAATTTCATATTATTTAATATTTACTTGTGTTAATTCACTGATTATGATTCGCGCAGTTTCGATTGTTACAAATACATTGGGTGAACAGCCAATATTGAATTGCTTAATCAATACTTACCAAGAATGAAGTAATGGAAGCAGTAGGAAATAGAAAGAAACGATGTTAGTAAATGTTAGGTTTATTTTCTTTAGCATCACCATTAACAAACATCATATAAGTTGTTTGACAACCAAAAAAAAATAAAAAAAATAATAATTCAAAAAAATTTATATATATATATATATTTATATATATATATATAAAAAAATGAAACATATAATTCATATACAGTTCCCTCAAACCCTTTCCTCTTTATAGCTATTATTCAATAGTATAGCTGCACTCTCTCTTTTTTGTGTATTATGTAGTATATATAGATTATTAGCAATCAGAACTCCATATTTATACTGTTTCTATTTTTATACTGTATTACCAAAAACAGTCTCAAATACTTCCCAAGGGTCCCTATTTAGGAAGGCCGGTCCATAGTTTGGACTCAAAGCCCTCTGTTTTATCCTTATGTCCCTCTTTTCTAGGAGCTCCATATTGTCGGTATGTCTGTAGTGTATAACAGCAACCTCAGCAATAATACTCGCATTGAGTAAATAAGATGCATTGTTCTTGTTCTAAATTGCTTTTTAGTTGCATAAATTATTACTAGCAAAGACACCTAAAACTTCTCAGAAAAGCCCAACCCCTGGCCACACCTTCCACTCACATCCCTAAAATAAAAATTAACCCTAAATAATGTGTCCATTTGAAAAGTTGGAACTTTTAACATGTACACTGGTATATAATTACGCATGGTTCCTTTTGCCTTTATATTTGCTGTGTTTTGGTGCTCCCTATTGTATTTCGTTATTTTATTAACACTTGCTGAACACTGGTTCTTTTATGTATACTGGTACTGCAAAATAGGGTGCATACATGCATAAATGGGGTGCTGCTGCAGCCGATTAATATAACACACAAGATCCAGCTCCCTGACTTATCCACTAAATAAAAACTTCAAAGCTTACAGATTTTATCAGGTTTTTTTTTAAAACACCTAATCTAGGTAAAAATAATGAGGGTTTAGTTACAGTATTTGATCATACATTGCATAAGCCTGCCACAACGTCAATGTACCCCATTCTTGGCAGGTCCTGCTCTAACAACCTAATGTCTGCACTTTAGGTTGCACGTTCAGGTAACCTTGTTAAACACATTGATCAACTCGCATTATTTGCAGGAATGCATGTAGTTCTGAAAAGTTGACAGTTTTGCTCACCCACAGTCTTTCCACCCACTACTCTATAAATAGGGTTTTGTGCTTTCCAAGCTTGAGGAAATGGCTTACCATTAACATGTCCTGAAGAGTACTTTCTGAACATCATGAGAAACAGGAAGTGAAGGGAGCAAGGCAAATGGCTTCCCCTTACCTGCCAAAGAAATGTGGTGGTTCTGATAACTGAACAAGTACTACCCTTTTAAATTATGTAAATTTTTTTCATACATTAGCAACATAAATTTAAGCCATAGTTCCTAATTCAACTGGCAAATATTAAAGGAAATGATGGGTTAGGGATTAAGGAAATGAAAGTTAGAATTTTCCACCTTTATCTAGTGTTCCACAAAGTTGACATGACCACTATTTCGTTACATCCTCTACAAACAATAGGACAGTTACACCCTCTTGTCAGCAGGATACGGAAAAGTCTGGACCATGTGTTTATAAGTTTCAGACCCGATTACTGTAACTGTTCATTGTTTGGGGTTTCCTGACCATTCACTTCCAACAAAAAGAAACAGCAGGTGCAACGAACAGTGATTAGTGCAATCCAGGACGATATAAATAAAACCGCAGCCTGGACCGTCACCTGCAAAAATGAAATCTTCACTTTCTATATTGTCTACATAGTATCTACTGTGGAAAGATTGACTTGCAACATTCTGATTGTATATGTGACCTTTATGGGTGGTAAAGTTAGATGGTGGCTTGATGCCTTATTCTTAGAAAAGGATGTACCGGTATCAAGTTCTAATTTTGGGACATTTCATATTTCTAGAAAACTAAACACTAATTTTAAAACAGATTATGAATCCAAGTATGTCCAGAATCACACAGTGGAACTGTAAAGAGATTAAAATAACGTATACATCATTCAAGACTACAAATAAGACATCACTAGCTGTCTGTCAATGAAGCCACTTTGTCCCCAAATACGACGCTCCACAATTTCCTCATATGCAGCCTTCTCGTCGATTTGCAGGCACTAAATGCAATTTTTTTTCCAAAGATGGGCTTATAACACACAAGGATTGTGGATGCCATATAGTCAGAGTGCTGAATCTACATATTAAAATTATTTTATTCTTTTGAAGTTACATATGAACCTATTGTGTCTGATCAAGAATCACCTAAATGCTTATTGCTCATGCCACAAAATAAAATAGTCTAGCAACATAGTAACTTATGGTCCTTGGATAGGTAGGTTATAGTGAGAGGAAGGTCTAATTGTTACAGGATGAAGTGTCCTCTGTTCATCTAATCTCCATCACTCTTAACAGACTTCTTCACAGCTTACTGAAGACGTTGAGCTACAGTCACTGTTCTATTAATACATCAAACAACTCTGTGCTACAACTTCTGTCACTTTATTAATTCATATTAATCACCACATGTGATGAATGGAATTGCTTCCAAGTGCATTATGGGTTACTTCAAACACCATGACCACTTCTGCTTTTAGAAGTGTTCATGGTGGTAGAAAGACTGCTAGAAACACTGCACATACAGAGATATTTGCACTTGTTACTGCAAGGGGAAGCATCAATGTCCCTTCCCTCCCTCTGTGTGCTCCCTAAGTTTCCCTCCAGTGAAAGTTATTACATATATGGCTTAAAACAAACAAGTGCATTCAGCAACCAGTGCAATGAATGAATGTCAAACCTAGACTACATCTGAAAAAAGCTGAGTAGGAGATTTTTTTCCACATAAGCTATTATAGACTGCATAAGTGAATAAACCTCTCCAGGTAATTTTATGTGAACTACAGCGAAATGAGATCTGTTACGGTAGAACAACACGCACTATTATTATTCCCATAGAAAAATGGTTCAAGATGTAAATGTATAGAGTTCACCACCTGTCTTGCCCTTATTTTTTAAGGAGAAGAATTAGAGACGAGAATAAATTGGCTTGATAGACATGTAACACGTTGACAGTAACATATTCAAAAAAAATTGATATGAACTCCAACCTGACAGAGTGTAATAGATCATACACTGTAGCCCAATACCCAAAAGACTTGCTGTTAGTTTAGTTTGTCTTACGTGTGACTGTATCCGAGACAGCCTTCTCTTTTCATGAGCCAGGAACGAGACATTTTTAATGCTGCTAAAAAAAATTCAGTTCAAAGAAAAACTTCACTTAATCCGCCGTTTTACCCTTGGTTTGAAAGGCACCAAAAGTACTAAGCACATTAAACACTCAGATTGAATCATTGTTGCTTTCAAGAATTACCAACACTTCATTGCAAACAGATGGGCTTTCAAATAAACAGACGCTGTTTTGGAAAAGAAAAGATGTGAATCTCTAACAACAGAAACTAACAAACAGAAAGGGAGGAGAATAAGCTTGGCGGGCTGGAGGTAAACTATCTGAAGATTAAACAAGTTGCCCCCCCTGGAGGGTTGCATTTACTCAGTCATGTTGGGATGTGGTACTGCTTAGTCACATTTAGATTATCTGGATAAATATGTTTATGAGTGGCTTTGTATATTCAAACAAAGCCAAAATATTGAGTGAGCCAGAGAGACTGACTGCAATAGCACACTGTATTTCCATGTTTAATAAGTATTCCTGCAAAAGCGACACATGTTTCTGATTAAATGTACAGACCCGGCATCAAACCTAGGGATGCATAAAGCTGCAAGCCAAAGGGATGGCAGGCCTTCAAAAGAAAGACACATTTTATTTCCAGGACTAGAAAAAAAAAATAAAATCAGGAAGGATAAAGACATAGGTGTAGACTGCCATTTCTTTCAAGATGGAAAGGTTCAAAGTGGGTTCTGGGGTGGTCGCCAAGAAAGCAGTTTCACTCACTCTGTGTTTTTCATTATTTTCTTGAAAAGTCTACTAGAATGTTGGCGTGGTCTTTATTGGCTTTTTTCAGGAGTCGGAAAATCCAACTTTGTGTTTGGTTAACTAGGTGACATTTTTAAAAGTTGGAAAGATGTAAGTGAGTGAAAGCCGCAGACTTGTTAAGTTATTCTTTCGTATGGTTAAGAGCAGGTGGCCAAAGATCTTAAACAGCAGTTCACTTTATAGATTTTTTTTCTAGTTTGAAATGTTTTCAATTGATAATGCCACTTTCTAATTTTATTTTATTTATTTATTTTTATAGAAAATCACATGAAAAAAAATGTGAAACTGAACAGGTGTGGCACCAGCCACAGAATTCTTAAAAAACAAACAAAAGAAAACTCTTTGCAGGTGGCCCAGCAGTTGGTCAAACACATGTATAGGTGAATCTTAATTTACATCTATTACCATAAAATGACCTAGATTTCAGTAAGGCTTTTACAACGGTTGTCATAGAAGGCTTGTCAATAAACTGCAATCTTCAAGTTTGGATTCCAATATTGTAGAATGGGTAAGGCAGTGGCTGAGTGACAGGCAACTGAGGGTTGTAGTCAATGGAGTATATTCGAAGCAAGGTCTAGTTACCAGTGGGGTACCTCAGGGATCTGCACTTGGACCCATTATCTTTAATATTTTTACAAGTGATATTGCAGAAGGTCTTGATGGTAAGGGATGTCTTTTTGCTGATGATTCTAAGATATGTAACAGGGTTGATGTTCCAGGAGGGATAAGCTAAATGGCAAATGATTTAGGTAAACTAGAGAAATGGTCAGAATTGTGGCAACTGACATTTAATGTGGATTAGTGCAAGATAATGCATCTTGGATGTAAAAACCTAAGGGCAGAGTACAGAATATTTGATAGAGTCCTTACCTCAACATCTGAGGAAAGGGATTTAGGGGTGATTATTTCTGATGACTTAAAGGTGGGCAGACAATTTATAAGAGCAGCAGGAAATGCTAGCAGAATGCTTGGTTGTATAGTGATAGGTATTAGCAGTAGAAAGAGGGAAGTGCTCATGCCATTGTACAGAACACTGGTGAGACCTCACTTGGAGTATTGTACGCAGTACTGGAGACCGTATCTTCAGAAGGATATTGATACCTTAGAGAGAGTCCGGAGAAGGGCTATTAAACTGGTTCATGGATTGCAGGATAAACCTTACAAGGAAAGGTTAAAGGAACTTAACATGTATAGCTTGGAGGTAAGGAGAGACAGGTGGGATATGATAGAAACAGTTAAATACATAAAGGGAATCAACACAGTAAAGGAAGAGACTATATTTAAAAGAAGAAGAACTAACACAACAAGAGGACATAGTCTTAAATTAGAGGGGCAAAGGTTTAAAAATAACATCAGGAAGTATTACTTTACAGAGAGGATAGTGGATGCATGGGATAGCCTTCCAGCTGAAGTGGTAGAGGTTAACACAGTAAAGGAGTTTAAGCATACATGGAATAGGCATAAGTCTATCCTAGCTATAAGATAAGGCCAGGGACTAATGAAAGATTTAAAAAATTGGGCAGACTAGATGAGCCGAATGGTTCTTATCTGCCATTACATTCTATGTTTCTATAAAATTAAAGGAAAACTGTCATCACTTAACTGGCTGCTCCCCTGCCTTGATGTCCTTACAGAGGTGGATGTTACACTTTTGTTTTCTGCTCTCCTCCTCATCCTTGCTGATTTGCCATGCTGAGGGACACTTCCCTGAGCAGGGCAAACCTCCTCCATGATGCCAACACTGTGACTTTGTTGCCAGGATCCCTGCATCTGAATGAAGTGATGTCACACCACTCCTTTCCTATACTCCCCAGCCAGCAGTAACAATGCCAGCTCGGGAGTAACCATAGCAACCACAGCGCATGTTCTGTGATTGCTATGGGTGGAGAGCAAGAAAACTGCCTGTGATAGGTCTCTTCTGTTCTCCCTGTCTCTCAGCTGCTTGGCATTGAGTGTCAGCTCAATGTATAGATGTAATTTAAAACTATTATATAAGTGCTAAAGTCAATATGTGATGACAGGTTCCCTTTAAAGAAAGAGTCAGTTGCTATTTTCTGGTTTTTGTATGAAAAAGGCATATCAGGAGAAGAAGCACAGTATCCATTGTCCATGTGATAGAAAATGCCTACTGTTGACTACTGTTTCCAACTATTTATCCCTTACAAAAGTGTGTCCAACATACCCAGGTTTGGTTGAGACATTGCCAGTGATCTTTGGCTCATTGGTGTGGATGTGGTAACTGGATGGTGGTTTAGGTGAGCCATTGGTTGGGTCATTGTTTTCCTGGGATCTTGCCATGTAGTGATTTTTTCCATATGGCTGTAATCAAAGAAAGAAAAACAAAAACACCTGTGAGTTAAATATATGTAAACATTTCAAACCAATCAACAAATCATGAATCGCAGGTATAGGCTACTCCAATATTCAATAGCTAAAATCTATAATCAAACACGTAATAAACACAGCACTTTTATAATCGTAATAAACACAGCAATTTTTCCCATATGTAAATAAATGAAAATGGCCCGAATGTACTTAGCCAGTGATTTTGGGTCAATTGTAATAATCTGTCCCAGTAGAACAATCAAGTAAGTACAGACAAGTCAGTTTATAACAGAGTAATTGCACCAGGATTTTGTACAGTAAGCTGCAATTATTTTGTAGTTGCCATACTATACGAATATCACTTTATTATAACAGATCAGTGTGAACCAGAACAACATTATCTTTTTATATACACAACTCGTCATGATATTCTTCATTACTTTTACAAGAGTAAAAGAAAATATGGGTCAAAAACTGAAATGTCTGCTCTTAAAATCTTTCAGTGGCATCGATGGTGGAAGTAGTCTGTCAAGGAGTCAGTGTTATGCCATAAAAGTGTGAACTGACAAGTATTCCAAGCAAAATCAGAATTAATTTCAAATTAATTGGCAAAATAGTTGAACTAAAAACTTAGCCAACTGAGATTTTTTTAATTTGCCATTCTGTCCTAAAATTGGAAATTCACTTTATTGAAATTGAAAAAACAAAAAACAAATCCAATGCCTAAAATAACGTGTAGGGACTATAGACTGTGTCACACACATCACAGAGACAAGGCGGGTAGGGAAGGAGAAGCAAGGTTATCTAGGCGCCCGTTAAGGGACTCGTGGTTAAGGGGTGCAATACCAAGGCCTTGCCCTGGGAGCTGGCATGTTATGCCATTGGCCAGAGTTTGAGGTTGTATACTAGTTTGTTAGTATTAGAGCATATCCCAAATAAATGCTAACACAAAGTGTTTAATGGCATTTCAACTTCACTTTGTTCTGGGTTTTTTTGGTAAATGTTTACCCTACACTATGGAATACATAAAACAGTTGCTTCAATTTTTTCAGTTAGCTATTAACAGCATCACCTTTATAATACTTAAATTACCTTGTGTTCCCAGCGAACCTTGGACATGTCATTTCTACTTATTTAAAATGCCTGAATCTTTTAAAAGATGCAAACAACTAAATCCCCCGACAGAAACACACTTGCACGTGAGAATACAGAGTGGATTCAAAATAATTATCTGAACAGGAAGCATAGCCATTGTACAGCGCTACGGAATCTGATGGCACTATATAAATAATAAAATAATAATAATAACTGACTGAGAGAATGTTTCCAGTTCAGTTACTATGGTCATTAATTTGAATTCCATTTGAACTCCTGACAATTCTCACTTTAATGATAGAAATACAAAAAAACAAGTCAAGGCGCTCAAACTCCCACTACTCTTGAGCGGCAGCAACAACTATAGTACACATCAGCCCCAATACATACAGTAAAAACCAAAGAAAAAAAAAGTTACCTGCGCTCTTTCCCAAATCCCTATGCATATTTAAACTAATGGAGGTTATTTAGTTACTCCAATGGCCATAAGAGGGATGCCCACCTACCATGTCAAGGCAAACCTCTACACTAAACCATTCACCTTGCTTCCTTGAGCTTCTGGCAAAGATATCTTGAGACAGAGAGGGGTATTTTTTTATATACATGTATATACATTATACACAGGTGGGCATTCCCTCTAATGGCCATTGGAGTAACTCAATAACCTCCATTTCTTTAAATATACATAGGGATTTGGGAAGAGCGCAAGTAACTTTTTTTCCTTTGGTTTTTACTTTAATGATAGTGTTCGGTGCATTAAACCATAGTAATTGCGATAAAATTGGCTGAGCTTAAGTATGGCTATGTTGGCTTACAATTTGCAGAAATCACAGTTTTGTAAATAAACCATGAGTCAGTCAAAACAGCAACAGTTGCAATATAGTCAGGACTGCCACGATTTTGGGGTCCCACCACCCCAATTTAGTTTCCTGGTGTCCTACATCCGAGGACACCAGAGAACTCAACTGTCCTTGAGCAGCACAGCGTGTGTGCATCATTACAAAAGCTTCAGCAGCACTCTTTGCAAGGTCCTGTAGGTTGGGGGCAAACCCCTTGAGTGGGAAGGTCTGGCCCTTATCTGGGCAGATCTGCCCAATATATGTATCGCCAGTGATGTGCGAGCATCACTGATGATGCCCCCTCTGGCCAGCCCACCCTTTCCGATCTTTATGCCGCTCACTGAGAATTGCGGAGTTCACTGGTGTGAATCCATGCATATAACTGTATTAGCTTATTTGAACTGTTATTCCATTCTATTTTTTAGTTGTCACAGCTTGTAGCCACACGCCTGCTTAGTCTTAAAAGTGCACTAATAATCTACAGTAGGAAATGCGGTACTAGTGTAAGTAAAACTAGTGACCTCATTCAGAAATGCAAAACTTCTTCAAATTAAGAGAACCCTGTCATTCAATATGCAATAATTACACGTTAAATGAGGTGGCAGGTGGTATTAGGTGGATATTTCAACACTTGGAGAGAGAAGTTTATCTACACTATTATATGTACAATTATCTGGAACACAAAGGATCATTACAGTGACTACAGACTAATGATCTATTCCCAATGTCTTAACACATCGCCCAAGGAAAGGAAAGGAAAGGAAAGGAGACGTGAATAGTCAAAGTCTTTTATACGCAAATATGTTGCCACTCTAGATAAAGGCACTGGTGCCAAGATGGGAGTGTTGTAAGTGGGAGGAAAGACAGAAGATCCTATGACTAAGTCTCTTCAAAGCATGACCACCCATGGCTAAGCTAGGAAACGATATATAAAAAAATATAATCCAAATACAACTGATGAGGCTTGACTCACTTATTGCACTCTTTGGACAGATAGCATGGTGTGTGCCAGAACCCCAGTAACACCCACATCTAGCAGATGCAACAGGCAGAGTTGTGAAATATATTTACATGACCATTGACTAAGTACTGTGTCATACATCAGAAAACCATTTTAATGACAGCATTCGAAACAGCTGCCTTGTGTTTCCTTCTCAGTGAAAATGTTGCAGAGCCTGACCTACTAAATCAGAGGCAATGATTTGCAATGTTTTAACTCCTCCGTGATCGATGACATGCCTAATCTGTCACAAACTGCCTAATTCTCATGCTGTAAGGGTTGATGAGGCATAGAAAGGCTGTATATCATTCATAATCATTTATTAATCTTAAATGAAGTAAAAAGAGGTTATGGGTGTACAAAATAATATCATTCCAGTATCAGGTCCTTAGATCACCCTTTTGATCAACCTGTATAAATAAAAACCCAAAGGATCTCCCTGCAGTTTTCTCTCCAGTTTAAAGGACCACTATAGGCACCCAGATCACTTCAGCTTAATGAAGTGGTCTGGGTGCCTGGTCCAGCTAGGGTTAACCCCTTTTTTTTTAATAAACATAGCAGTTTCAGAGAAACTGCTATGTTTATGTTAGGGTTAATCCAGCCTCCAGTGGCTGTCTTGACAGCCACTAGAGGCGCTTGCGTGCTTCTCACTGTGAAAATCACAGTGAGAAGACACCAGTGTCCATAGGAAAGCATTGTAAATGAACTGGCTGAATGTGCGCGCAGCTCCTGCCGCGCATGCGCATTCAGCGGATGACGTCGCTATGGAGGAGGAGAGCTCCCCGCTCAGTGCTGGAGAAAGGTAAGATTTTAACCCCTTCCTCTCCCCCAGAGCCCGGCGGGAGGGGGACCCTGAGAGTATGTTTTCCTGGCACTAAAGTGGTCCTTTAACTATTTTTTTTTTAAACTGCCAAAGCCTGCAGAGCTCTTCCAGCACTGAAAGGGTCAATAATGCTTGGTTTATAGCTCACAGATGATTTTTGCAAATTTTAGGTCAAACTATCCAATTACAATTATTTTTTTTATTTTTTTTTTTTATCAACTTGGTTAATTTTCCTGTTTTGTTATATGGAAGTAAAATAATGTAAGTAACTTTAAGGTCAATGCAGGACAATATATTCTGGAGTGCCGAAGGTTGCCTATCACTGCACTAGGACACTACAGCACCATGACCAGCATCCTCATCAATCTATTGTTCCTGTAACATTTTGTATTTGTCTCGTTTCTTATTAAATTCCTCCCCTTTTATAATATTGTAAAGTGCTATGGCATATGTTGGCGCTATATAAATAAAACATTTTTCAAAATTAGAAATACAGGTTTGTATAGTGTTCTTTAATATTGATGACGAAGTCTAATTTGGAACAGTTAATGTGGTGACCATTATCCAAGACACACATTAAACATTTGCTGGGAAAAGGTAAATAAGTGTCTCTTCCTTATTTCTTAAGAACTGTTTTTGAGCCATGAGTCTGTTATTAACGTTCTGGCAGATCCTATTCCTGTGACAGGACAGGGCATGTAAGAGCCTGTTCGCCTTACACTGAGCCTCCCAGACCTGCAAACACACCCAGCCTAGCAGGAGGTTACTGAGATTAGCCGGCAGGTGCTGGGATAATGCTGACTGAAGCACTCCAGTGAACATATTCACAGCTTGAAAAGACAGAAACTCTAACCTGCCTGCACCTTAGGACAAGGTAAAAAAAAAACCGGCTAATCTTGCAATAGAAAAGAAAGCGCACAAAGCCACAGTCATAATATATAAATCACACCGGTACAAAATAAATAGATTTGTAATTTATATATGTCCAGCCTCATAATTTCACTTAATTAGACTGGCAAAGGTTTATGGAAATTTACACCAGCAATAGCCAGCAGGCATTTTCCATGTCAGCAATGTTTTTCATTTACCCATTTCGACCTAAAATGTAAAACGGACTTTGAGTATCGGACTAGTCACACATTAGTGAATAACTCTGCTTGTCTGAGAGACTAGAGAGGTGTGACTACACTTGTAAAAGCAGTATAAGAATAAGTATAGAGAGGAGATTTATAAAACATGGTTCATTTCTAAAAAGTGGTCTTAAGTTCAAAAATGGGCAATCGCCAAGGAAATCGGTAGAACCAACAAACAGACACATGTCCAATGATGACTTCTCCCCATATATTCATGCACCATTTTTAGGACAGAACACTCACTTTGATATGTCTCTCCCAGCATGCCAAAGCACCAATACCTAACCGATGCCATAACCACCTACTTATAAAGATCTATCCATGTCACCCCTGCCTACACAGATCCCCAAGCAAAGTTTTAAAGCTTTTTTAATGTTCCCCCCCCCCTTTTTTTAAATTTTTTAATTTTTTTACTAACTACCAACATGACTATTTGGATTTTAGGACTGATGTGTTTCTAGGTAAAAAATGAAAACATCAAAGTGTGAAAACAGATGTTTAGTTGCAGTCCATTAGAATTATACATGGTGAAATCTAGCATTTTAACGGAAAACGGAAGCATCTAACAATTCGACTGTATTGGTATTTCACTGAAATTACAACACAGTCAAAAGATATCATAAAACAAAGTAGGGACTAATTAAGGAATATGTATATGTCTTACAAATTACAAAACGTGACAATAGGAGGAGGTAATGATGTCACGTTTTTGGCATTTCCCACAGCTGGTGCTAGGGATGGCAGTAGGGAAAAGGGGATTGTCTATAGAGGCTCCAAGCGTTTGAACACTTTTGAAAAAGCCTTAGGGGTGGATTATACCGCCCAAGCACAACAAAGTAGAGCTTCTCAAGTAAGTTTTGATCTTACTCTGAATTATCATATACAAAACATACTACACTATATTTTTCTTTTTTTTCTTTTATGTATTCAACTACTACCAAGATTGCTTCTACCTTTGAAAATACACCAAGGTGAGAATTTTTTAAGTTTAAGTTCAGTTACTATGGCCTTTCATTTTAATTCAATTTGAACTCCTGAATATTCTCACTTTCATGATAAGAGTCCGGTGCATATATAACTTTACTTAAACCACAGTAATTTCATTAAAATTGGCTTTCTATTATACACATTTTCTTTTGGACCAGAATAGAGAGACTCTGGTTTGGGATTTTGAGCTGCCTTTAACTATATGCGCTAGGAACCAATATTGTAAATATTTTATCTGTATGTGCAGCGCTTCAAAGTGAAAATCTGCACATATAGACTTTAGGCATCATGACCACTTCAAACCACTGATGTGGTCATGGAGGTTGGAGTAAACCTTTAAACCAAATAATCAAAGTGTTCACCTCTTGGTGGGACAGTCCTTCTCAGTGACCCAATTCATTCTGCACAAATGTGCTTTTCCTGGTGTGTTATATCAGTATCTCACAGAGCTACACAATGTTGCATCTTAATACAGACAGGACGTGTATGTAAATAGTTTGTGTAAATGAAATATCCTATTTCTTAATAATCTATGTATTTGCATAAATTACTATAAACAGGTCATGATGTCACTTTATAGTTCTCTGTAATGTCCAGCCCATTCAACCACCAACCACATTTCCTAATTAAGTGTTCCTCATATTCCATTTAAATTGCTGGAGGACAAAGAGGAGTGTGTAGCTGGAAACCTTTGAAATATAACACAAGTTTTTTACGCTTAGAGGATTCAGGCATGATTGCCAGAAGCATCCAGGAAGATCTTATAAGTGAACCAAGTGTCATGGAAGTCTAGTTTTTGAGAACAGAAATGAATGTTCATATTTTACTGAATGGGATTTTTTAACTCAAAGGCCAGCATTTAATGCCAAGTTCCAATATCAGGCTTCTTCACTTGAGCCAAAAAAAACAATATAGGGTGCATCTCCAGGCAATAATCCTACACAGCCTTCAGCCTCATTTGGTACAAACCCATCATAAACGTCTTCTGTTTTAATATATGTTTCCCTAATCACCACAGAAAACAATATACACAGCTAAAAAGAAAAAAAATTATATTTTTTCCCCCCCATGTATGGGGCTTCCAACTAATAGAAAATAAAATTTGATATTTTATCAGGTTAAAGTGGCACTATCATCATCGATGGACTTTGCAGAATTTGCAAAGACCCCAGACGGTGATATCACTGCTGAGGCTCCAGTGTTGAGAGGGAGCAGGCAAAGGTGAGTTCTACTTATCTGAACTTTTCCCTCAGGAGCCAATGTCACTGCTGAACTCTTGCGATGTGCGTGTGTACAGCATTGAGGTCTATGGAGGATCCTGCGAGCACACAGGACCCTCCAAACATAAAGCCAATTCCCTGGAGCCATTATTGTTGACAACTGAGGGGTTTGATATTTCTATATGGTGGCCCAGTGTCTAGATGTGTCAGGCGTAGGAGAAATACTGAAACAAGTAGTCCCTAGTAGCGCTTTAAAAATCAAATACTGTTCTACCTAAACTTGACACTCTAATGAAATGAACATTATTTGATACTCTGTAACAATCCTGCTTTAGATTGAAAGTAAAACATTCAGGAAATACTAGCACAAGAAAAAAAATGAACTTTACAGTTAAAATAGACCAACATTGTTTTAAATGTTAACAAAACACAAATAAAAGTAGCAAAGAGCCACAGAAGAAACTTTGACTGGGGGAGCAGTTTCTGCAATACTACAGTTATTAGTGAAACCCCCTCTGAATCTTCAGAATTGACGAATCATGAAGATATCCAAGTTTATCTCACTGACAAACATCAAGAATGAAACCCCTCATTGGTAGCTGTTTAGAGAGGCTTGAGAGCAGCTTGGCAAAAAGTGTGGTTGGTTTCAAATCTGCCCTGTACCAGCTGGTTTTGCACATGCCTAGTGTCCTTTAAAAATACATTTCAGGATTTTCCATTGAGTTGTCAATCGGTCAGTAGAGCCAGCTGCTCATGAGTGGAGGCATGCTAGTTAGAGGTATCTCCTTGTTGAGTCCCGTTCTGTGTTATTTTTCTGCATTTTACTCAGTTCTACCTGTTGTATGGGTACCTCTGTAGACTTCTCAGCTCTGTGAATTGCATATGTATCTTCGTGTTGTGCCCAGCATTGTGTAAAACATCTATTTTTATAGCGTATGTTGCTCGGCCCTGTTTGTGGTACGGTATATCTGTATTATTTTTATTATTATTGGTATTTATATAGCGTCAACTTATTCCGTATCGCTTTGTATTTTAGAGATATCTTTACGGTGTGCCCAGCTTGTTTTTTATATGAGTATCTCTGTATTATGCTTCGCTTTCTGTATTGTAAGATAATCTCTGTACTATGTAGGGAGGAGTAAAAATTTGGGGCTATTCTAAAACAAACACAATATTAAAAAAAAAAAATCGGACAACATAATCTGCTCTCCCCATATTAATCAATCATCTGTCCCCTTGTTCTTTTTCCAGTCTATGTAGTAATTTTACACAATTATGGGAGTCACAAAAATCACAAAAGTGACCCAGAACCTGCAGAAGAAATAAAATTGGAATTACATCAAGAGTTGAAGACTTGTCTCAATACAATTTACGGTCATAAATGTTCGACTGCTAAGGTTAGAAATAAGTAGAAAGGCCGGGATATTCAACTGCTTGCGACGCCTCTACTGCAAAGTAAGAACAAGGCTACTATTGTAAAGGAAAGCTCCTTCTACAAGGTCCGCTTTGGATGGGGGAGGGGGAGAGAAAATGGCCAGGGATTGGATGCAAAAAAACGTGTAATTGTTATCTAGATATTTTAGAGAGCATCTTTTATGTAAATACACACATATTGTTCTGTACTTGAGATTGCTCATATTTAACCATTTAAGTGTCCTGTGTAAACTGTACATCAGAGGAAGGATTACTGTGATATAAAGCGTATTACAGTCACTCCCGTTGAAAGATGTGGAGATCCAGTTTAACCTCATTAGACTGCAGTGTCCCAGCATTAAGGGATGTGAAGATTCCAAAGCAGAGACTTGTTTGTGTCTATTCTTAGTTTGCTCTTAAAATACTTTGTTGGCACACATTATAAACTTGTTCACGCCGTCCCACATTTACAGCTGCTGCAAAGAACTCTGGGTGGCTCCTCTTTATACCCTTGAAAACAACTGGTGGGAACCTTGCACCGTTTCTAAACACAACTGTCAAGCTTTCCTTTCTAACTTTAGCAAGCAAGACTTTTCTCTTGGATGCAGTCACTAACTGCAAGGGAAGGCTACTAAACGGCAACTGATGGGTATTCCCACTTTGAAATAAAAGATTGGTTTTGTTCCTCAAATTTAGTATGAGGGACAGTACAATCTAATGCTACCTGACCTATGCTGTATAGTTAATTTGTTTTTAAAGGTAAAAACTGTCTGACCATTTTTTCATGAGCTGTTAACAATGTCACAATACTCAGAATCCTACTGTTAAACGACATGTTTACCTTTGCCTAATCTGTAAAACAGGGCACTATACCTTGGCCTAAGCATGGAAGTTCTGACAAACACAACCTTGCTGAAGAGGCGTTAGTGACACTTTATCAGGACTATTGAAAACCTCTGACACTTCTAACGACTTCGAAAAGCTTTTCTAACAAATAACCAAAATCCCAAAAATGAATACGTGTCAGGACACATTAAGAGAACGAACACCACAAACATCTCCCTTAACATGTCATGTAGAAGCAACAATTCCTCATTCGTTAATTTGAAAGACAAATATGCACTGCAAATAAAATTGATAACATAATAAATACACAAACTGATATCATAATCAAATAACAGAGTAGCAGAAAACCCCCCACACACAGTGACACCAAAGTTCTGTCACCAATTGCCCATCATGCAGCCTCTTCTACATTGCCTTTGACGGCTCTAACAGAGAAGAAGTGGCTTGATGGCCAATGGTAGTCCGAGAAATATTAATTGAGATGAAGTTATTGTGGAGCCAGAAATGGGGCCAAAGTGTGATACACCTGTGCCATATTAGAATCATGAAAGTACTTAACTGCCTGTAAATTTCAACCTGTTCCAACGATTGATTTTTGTTACTAACCTTATGACACTGGCCTATAAAGCTTGACATTGTGTGATTAACAATGAAATCACAATTTAGGCCTGTTTTTTTAAACAATAAGCTTTTATGACTTTGAAAGTTTAAAAAACTATAACTATAAGATAAGACTAGGGACTAATGAAAGTATTTAGAAAATTGGGCAGACTAGATGGGCCGAATGGTTCTTATCTGCAGTCACAGTCTATGTTTCTATGTTTCTAAAAAGGTTTTAAAACTTTGGATTTTGATTACTTTGTTAAATGTCATGAAATACTACCAGAAAGACAGAACATTATAGATCAGTTATTAATGCTAATATATTTTACATTTCTCAAAGGTAAAAGGCTTTGTTCAGCTCCTCGTATTTAAAGGGTTAAGGTTCAAAGTCCACTTCTTACAGAAGAGTTAAAGACATCTAGCTAAAGCCCTTTCTATTGACTGAGTTCATTGTTAGTATACAGAATGCTCCAGACCTAACACTGTAAGCAATGACATAAATGGAAACAAAACCCCCTTTGATTTCTATTGGTAATTTAACATTTAAGATCTGGAAGGAGCCCAGAGAAAGAATAAAAAGAAAGTGGTTGAAACAGACAATTTCCCTATGGAAAACAGACCAGAATGTCTGGGACTCATTTGTATAAATGTATTCATCAGGCTAATAATGATATTGCAACGAGTTTCCTTTGATGAACCAGCTTGCAGTTCTTGAACAATATTACAATATTATTGGAAAAACATGGATAGATAGATGGATGGATGGATAGATGGATGCAAATTTCCTTGATGGCTCGACTTGGTGGAATCTTGTTGCCATAAAGTCAGTGCTTTTAAAGAATTATATTCTGATTAGACCAGTCTGCATATATACATGCTCAGGGGCATACCCAGGGGCAATGTTCATCAGATTGCAAGCTTGTGAAAAATGCTCTCAAAATGTCACTACATTTGGTTTTTATGATACAGTAAATATCACATAATACCTTTTAATTACTACATCTAACACTGATTTGTTAGCACAACATATAATACATAGCTCTTTTATTTTCTACATAGACAGTTTAAAACACTTTAACTATGCATATGCACTCTTGATATTAGACAAAATGTCAGATAATTAAAAGATATTACTATCTAACCCAACTTAATGGTTTCCATTTTAGCGATTTAGGATTAGGGAATAGTTGCATTGACCCTTAATATTATTAACATATTCTAAAGCTTGTATATGGAAGAAAACAAACACAGATTTATAGAGCTGACTTTGTTGTTTAGAAGAAAAACTTGAGATTATTGTTTAGCTGCACATGACCTCTTCCGAACTATTGAGAACAGTGTTCCTTTAAAGCAAGTGGGCATATATCATAGTATTGTGATTTTTGGTTATGGTTTTATATTGGCTTTCATTTTCCTTCAGCACATATGAGGTTAACTGAGTGGCCAAGTGTCTAGTGAGAGATACCCTGGTTGCATTCATGTTGCCTGTAGAAGTACTATTTCCAAATTGGTGACAAACTGATTTCTCCCTGTAGTCAGAGTTTCCAGTAGATAATATAAGAGGTCTTTCAGAGTTCAGCTATTTGACAGAGCCAGTTATTTCTGTGGAAAATTAACACGATAGCTCCAGATGCATTTGTGCAGGTCTTCGCACTACAGCAACAGTAATTCATTTCACAGCTTTAAAAATTTTTTTAAATATAAATACTTCACTGCAGGATTCAAGAGGTGCTGTGCAGGCTGCAAATCATTCAACTGTCTGTCACTAAAAAGCTAATCCTGATTTTCAATAGTAATAAATAGGCCGCAGCACACCAGCAGCAATGCACAAACGCACACAACAACAAATCAGTTCAGAGTTAAGCAAGTAACTTGTTTTTCAGTAATGAACTTGAGTTACGATCTTGTAAAGAAAACACCATCAGGAAATGTGATACAGAAGAAAGAATTGGATGCCAAAGAACCATTTTAGTAGCCATGGCAGCCTGCTACACATTTTTACTATGTCTATGAAATAAAAAAAAAATTAAAAAAACGCTCCCATTCACTTTTAGCAATAGGTAATCTTTGGAAACGCAGCTAGGATAACTACATCTCCCATGATGCCCGGCTTTCTGGGGATCACAAGAAAGGCTGTCCTCAAAATAGGCAGCGCCAAAAGTTAGCCCACACTGCACAAAAACACAAACATGATAGTTATTTGCTACACAGTGATCGGTTATGTCAGCACAAATAAGACTTTATACCTAATGACAGTGAAGAGGGGGGAAAGAGCAAATTTACTTAACAGCAAAAGAAGTTTATGCAAAAATAAATTCTACTACTGGAAAAAAAAGAGGGGAGGGGGAGAATGTGTTTTTTTGTTTATGGTGACAAAAGATTGATTTTAGTGAAAATAGCTCTTTAAAAATAAACAACACCTTGTGTTAATTTCCATTACAATTACAAATTAAGGTATGTGCATGCCCCATGTACCTTTCATATTTTAATATAGTTTACAAACTATGTACAATTCCCTTTGCAGATATTTCAGGTAATGGCGGCAACAATAAATACAATACAGACTTTGTCATCACACTTTTAGCAGTGGCTGAGATAACAGGCAGTCCTAAACAAGGTGTGTAAAGATTGCTGTCAGGGAGTGGGAATGATAGGCAAGTGGCTTCCTTAGAAATGTCACAATAAATGAATTTAAAAAAAAAAATTGCATTGGTTGATTTTACTAAGATAGTAAACAGATGGCAGTAATTTATTTTATCTATTCATATTTAGCTTTTTTTTTTTTTTTACACAAAACGCATGTTAATCCATGCTATAGTAAATATTTGCAAAACAGTTACAAGGTAACAAGAACAATGCTAATAATTTATTTTGTAGAACTGCACACCACCCTAACCAACACCCCTCTACTGCTTGACTAATCCTATTTCACCTCATTCTCTACTCTCATTGTACGTTAAAACATTTGCATCATTTCTGAATATGATAAATGCTCCTAGCAACCTAATCAATTAATCTTCCCTAACTAATATTGCTAGCACAGTTGGCAATCTTCATCTGGAAACCTGGAATGTTACCTTTTACCTTTACTGCAATTATGTACCTTTTTTCTTAAGTCTATAAACTCAGCCCTCATCACCTCTTCTTCCCCTATGCGGAACTTGTTTTGTCACAATTACCTGTATCCCATGTGCACTCATTGTTCAATGCTATTGAATATGTTGGTGCTTTAGACACAATAAACTGTTTTGCAATATGATGTTTGAATTACCATAAAGCCTGTGTCTTTTTATTGATGTCTGTTTTGCAATCGCTCTTTAATAAAGAGATTTTCTTATTGTCATCTTATCCACTTATAATAATCTGATCATATCCCATAAAGAAATGAGCCGCGTCAATAACCGGGTTTAATCACTAAAAGTTCAAAAACTTGGCCCTCTGCTATTCCACTGTCTGCTGTATCCAGGAAATCCTGCTAGACAGACACTGTTTGCAAACGGCTGGAAAAAATGGTTTATTGCCATGAAAAACACATGAAAAAGCAAGATCTGCTTTCAAAAAACAGTTTTTGCCCCAACTGCTCCCTGTCCAAGATAAAGAAAGTATGTCTGCTGGAGTTTACTGGTAACAAACCTCACTTTATAGGACTGCACTATTTTTTATTTTTTTTATGCAGACCTCAATCTGAAGAAATGTAAGATACACAGACATTATCTATTCTCATTACCATAAAGATCACAAGAATCCACTGTATACAGCAATGAATTATAGCTTTTAAATTGTAGTATTATTTAAATGACTGTCCCAGTCTGTAATAGATTCACCTTGTAGGAATGTCTTAAAAAAGAAATTGTAAATAGCCCCAGACTGTGTCTGCGTTTTCTAGTGAGGCCTAAACCTGAGGAAATTGAAACTGCACGAGGGATTTAGGCTGGGCTAGTAAGAAGTACTACCGTCTATTCTATATTACATCTTAACTATCAGCACATCAGTGTTAAAAGCTGAGCATGCAACATAGTTTAATCATTCATATCTAAAAACAAATTCATTATTGGCTAGTTCAGAGAAACTAGTGTTGCCAAACTGTAGGTTCTAAACTTAGAAACCGCACGAATTGCAGTATTTATAATATATTTTCTTCCGATTTGTTTTTTATGGTTGAATTGTGTGTCAAATAAAAAAGAAAAATAATGTAAACTTTTTTTTTTATGTAGTTTGGATATAGCAAAATAAAAATGAATATAAAATCTTTATACATTTATATAAAGTAGGACTGTTTTTTTATTATTATTATTATATTACAAAACTCCTGCCTTGTTTGATCATATTTTACATAAAAAGTAAGTGACCATTAATTTACTGTAAAAAAATAGATTTTTTTTTTTTTTTTTTACTTATTTTGTCTTAAAGCTTGAAATTCATTTTAAAGTAATTTAGAATTTCTGACAATTCACCCTATTCAATTTTTGTGCCTCTGGAAGGTCCAGCATTAAGCTAAGTCCAGCAGTGCAGGGCTTTGCTCATTAGCTGAGAGCGCTCAGCAATGTCATCAACCAATGAGCAGGCCTTTAGTAGGGTGGCGCTCCCAACTCCACAGACGTAGGTGACAGAGCACTAAAATTAACACAAATTATTGCAATTCAAAAGTACTGTCAGAACTGAGAGTCCTTTTCAGGAGGATTTCAGGGTCCCACAAACCAGAATAGTAAGCACACACTAAATGCATTTTATAGAAAAGTGCACATTAAGCATTACGCAAATTTATGGTGTGTAGTTGCATTTTGGGCACAAACTACATTGAAACTAGCACAGGATATTGACTCATGAGTCCATCCACTTCTTGCCAAATTAAGTTCCGAAAGAACAATATAATTGCCAGTTTTATCTTAAATAAGCAGAGGACTGATTCATTTTCCTAGGAAAAACAGGAAGCTTTGAAGCACACTGAAATGTAATGTATACCCAAAAATAATATTGATGAAGCTACATTACCATATGGAATGATCAGGTGTGCATTTAATAAATTTCTTCCCATTGTGACAGTTTCAAAATAAAATAACTAAAAAGGCACAATACGTAAGCACCTAAGGCTGGTTAGGATAACTAAGAATGAGGGGATGTACTTAAACAGGAGTTAAAATGTTAATATGTGCATGTTTGTGTTTGCATAATACACGTGTGCAGATATAAAGAGTTGGAGTGCCAAAGGAGTGCATCATGGTAAATGTAGTCAATGAAAGGCGGGAGCAAATACACACCAGGGCTTCTCTTTTAAATACTTGTGGCAACCCAAAAACCTGTTATCTCCAATTAAATTGTCTATTATGATAAGCGCCGTTCCACTTTATAGAGAACTGATATAAAGCAGTGAGAGAGCTATCCTTCCGTGCAAGTTTTCACAGTTTTTTTTATGTAGGCTAAAAATACTTCTAAAGATCAAAAAAGGAGAGAGAAGCCCTTATTTATAGACCGCGGTGATGAAAACCTGGGCTACATCAGACCATTTCATGAGAGCATCTGGTACATTTTATGCCACACTGAGACATGGATTAGGATCAGCTCATAATGTGAACATAAACGATTCATGCTGCTAAAACATCTTTTTGAACTTCGAATGTTGAGAACTTCCCAGATTATCAGAAGCACAGCACCTGTTATTGTAACAAGTCTTATCTAAAGAAGCTTCCCCTATACAACTAGTACCTCTTGTTCTTTAACAAACTGCCCTGCTCAATACAGAGTTTAAGTTTCCTGCAAATAAATATGGCTAATCTGCTTTCCTTTCCTGGATTATTAGAAAAAGAAGAGCAAACACTTCCTGCTTAGTAAACACGTTTTCAACACAAAGTCATGAAAAACAAAGTTGGTATAACTGTACAGGGTATTAAACAGCATGTCGAGTTACACAGGCAAATGTAAAAGTGTAGAAATATACAATACAAATGGTCCGACGCAGGAAAGTACACTGGAGGTAACAGGCCAGGGATCTTTCTATTCTGGCTGATAGTGGAGACCTGCGGAAGAAGTGGTGGTTGGATCCTCACAGTTCTTAATTTAGCTGATATAAAACGATATCAATCGGAACACAGAAGGGAGGATGATAGTGAAGAAAGAAAGAAATTAAGACTTAGACGTATGTGTGATTCTTGCTTCAGCCCAGATCTACAGGATATACTACACTATCATTCTCCCCACTGTATTCCTATTTTTGTCATTACATATCAACTGTGAAGGAGTGACCACCAATAATTTCCCAAATGTTACAAGTGTGTCAATTATTTATCCCGTTTGTATAATTACCAATGGTTTTTGCATAAATTGTAAAACACTACATATGAACAGTTAAAGGCACACTATAGTCACCAGAACAACTACAGCTTATTGTATTTGTTCTGGTGAGTAGAATCATTACCTTCAGGCTTTTTGCTGCAAACACTGCCTTTCAGAGAAAATGCAGTGTTTACATTACAGCCTAGTAATAACTTCACTGGCCACTCCTCAGATAGCTGTTAGAGATCCTTCCTGGGTCATGGCTGCCTAAAATGCATCCAAACATTCAGTATCTCCACCCTCTGCATGCAGACACTGAACTTTCCTCATAGAGATTCATTGATTCAATTCATCTATATGAGGAGATGCTGATTGGCCAGGGCTGTGTTTGAATCATGCTGGCTCTGCCCCTGATCTGCCTCCTTGTCAGTCTCAGCCAATCCTATGAAGAAGCATTGTAATTGGATCAGGCTACCACTTCTGATGATGTCAGCAGACTGCTTGTTTTGTTTTGTTTTTTTGAGGCAAACAGCATGCAGAGCTACAGCTTCTGGCTTCAATACAGTAAGATTTGCTATATTTATGGAGGCATGAGGGGCCCATGGAGGCTAGATGGTGGTTTTAACACTATAGGGTCAGGGATACAGGTTTGTGTTCCTGACCCTATAGTGATCCTTTAAGTAGTTACATAGGAGAAAATAGATGCGTCAAGTTCAGCCTTTCTCACATCTTTGCTGTTAACTCCAAAAAAGGCAACCCCCACCCCAGTGTTTTCCAATTTTGTCTAAACACCTGTACAGACTCTGATAAAACCACCTCTTCAGGCAGAGAATTCCACATGCTTATTGTTCTTAGTGTAAAAAACCCTTTCCTTTGTCTTAGACTAAATCTCCTTTCTTCCAGTCTAAATGCATGAATAAATAAATACTCAAATATTGACGTTATCACAATTTATGTTGAGTAAACAAGTTTTCTATAGCAAGTGATGTTGTTCAAGTCCTTGATGATAGATATTGCACACATAATTGGAAAAACATGTAGGAATGTAAGGAAATGTTGTATACGTAATTATTCGTTGTTACACATTTGTCTGTATATAAGTTTTTATATCTATCTTTCCGCATACGAAAGGCACAAGTCTTCATACATGAACACATACAAGCGCCTTTTTAGGTAGGAATATGCACACCTGTTATACAGAAACACATGTAACTCTCTATATTATGGAAACAAGCACTTCTTTAAACATGCAAACATATACAAACACACGAATGTGCAATATGGTGTCATATCATCTATTGCGCATCATGCAAAAAGACGCCTGTTTTCATCAGCCGTCACGAAAAACAGGCAGGTTTTATCCAAGAATATGTTTAGCAGTGTATCATGACTTAAAGCCAGCAAACTCGCAATGCTGAAGATGGTTTTTGGATCATCTGTTTGCCTTGAGGGTATTCCAGGTACAATTATTTAATACCATCAGCCTACACTGTGATGATATATTTGTCAAAACTTAATAAATGTGATGAAAGGGTCTGTAATTGATCTAAATGCCAGTAACTTGGTGAGTCATGTACACAGTTCTTGCACTAGAAAAGAGGGGCTTCCTTATCTTACAGTATTGTTTACAACTGGTAGAGTACTATATAGATAAGCAGGTTGCTTTGAAGCTATTATATAGTACTGTATGTCAACAAACAGTCATAAAGATAGAGGGACAGAGAGAAGGAAAGATCTGTTGATGCAAAAACATCATAAAGAGGGAGAGGGACAGATAATTTGAAAGTGGAGACTGTTTCTCTGTCTCATAATGGTAAAACAAAAAAGGTCTGCTCCATTCTTACTAGCTTATAGAGGTGGTGGGGGCAGGGACATCCTTTTCTAACATTACAATAGAGGCCACTTTGTTCCTTTACATTAAACAGCATTCTCCCCCACCAGAGACTATCAAAATTGCCCTCAGGCAGGAATAAACATGCTTCTGGTTCAACAGGAGATAAAGAACTTTGTAAGTAAACATAACTGAGCATTTTCAAAATGTTCACACAATCTTCATTTATTTATTATTATTTTATTATTTATATAGCGCCAGCAAATTCCGTAGCGCTGTACAATGAGTGGACTAACAGACACATAATTGTAACCAGACAAATCGACGCACAGGAACAGAGGGGTTGAAGGCCTTGCTCAATGAGCTTACATGCTAGAGGCAGTGGGTTATAGTGACACAAAGGGTATTAAGTAGGGGTAATGAAATAGGTTGCTAGAAAAGTATTCACTGAGAACTTAGTAGGTTATTATTGACAGTTGCAGGAGAAGAGTCATGGGGGGGGATCTAAACCCACTAACAGTTTATATGATATGCTTTCCTGAAGAAGTATGTTTTCAAAGATTTTTTTGAAGTGGAAACAGGGTGAAAGTCTAATGGAGAAGGGAAGAAAGTTCCACAGAAAATGTGCATTTGTTATAGATTGCAGCAGTGCAATCTGGGAGCATGTAAGACCACTGAGAAGGGGATTGCAGTAGTCAAGGTGAGAAAGAACAAGAGCATGGACCAGCACCTTAGTGGTGTCTGGTGTTTTAAATAAGGGCGGATGCGAGCTATGTTTTTGAGATGGAAGCGGCAGATTTTGGCAATCGACTGTACATGATGGGTGAAGGAGAGGTCAGAGTCAAAGAGAACACCTAGGCAGCGAGCTTACAACGTAGAGGTGACGGTGGCGCCGTTGACTTGGATGAAGGGAGACACGGGAGTAGCAACACTTGAGGGAGGGAAGACCAGAAGCTCTGTTTTGGACAGGTTGAGTTTAAGGAAGTGAGCAGCCATCCAGTTGGAAATCGCAGAGAGGCAGTCATAGACAGGAGTCAAGATGGGTGAGAGATCAGGAGAGGACAGGTAGATTTGTATGTCATCTCATATAAATGATACAAGAAAGCCAAACGAGCTGATGAGTTTACCAAGGGAGGCAGTATAGACAGAGAACAGTAGGGGACCAAAGACAGAACCTTGGGAAACACCAACAGAGAGGGGTTGGGTAAAAGAGGCAGAACCAGAGAAAGAAACACTGAAAGAGCGCTGGGAGAGGTAGGAGGAGCACCAGGAAAGAGCAATATCTTGTAGACCGAGATTACGGAGAATGATAAAAAGCTGTTGATGATCAACAGTATTAAAGGCAGTAGAAAGATCAAGGAGAATTAGAATAATGGCTGCAGGATTTAGCAGCGATTAAATTGTTGGATACTTTGGTCACAGCTGTTTCAACAGAGTGACGAGCGCAGAATCCAGACTGAAGCGGGTCAAGCACAGAGTTGGATTCAAAGAAAGTCTGCCAATCTCGCATACACAACTCTCTCAAGGATCTTGGCAGTAGCGATATAGGGAGGTGGTTGGATGGGGAGTTGGGCTCAAGATTGGGCTTTTTCAGAATCGGCGTTATGGTTACATGCTTGAAGGGTGAAGGAAATGTGCCGGAGGAAAGGGAGAGATTGAAAATTTTAGTAATAAGAAGAGCAAGAGAGGGAAACAGATGGCGGATTAGATATGAGTGAATAGGATCGAGGGAACAGGCGGTGGGGCAGGAGGACCGGAGCAGAGCAGAAACCTCTTCCATTGTAGTAGGTGCGAATGAGCATAGAACAGAGAAGGCAGTGGGGTTGGGTGATATATTGGAAGGGGAGAGAGAGAGAGAGGTTAGAGATCTCTTTCCTCATTAAAGAAATCATCTTAGTGAAGTGAGTTGCAAATTTTGAAGCGGACAAGGCGGTAGGATGAGGAGGAGCAACAGGGCAAAGGAGAGCATTAAAAGTGTGAAATTGGGTTGGCTGGACAGTCTTCTTCCAAAGTGACTCATTTTACTCTGCAGCTGGCAGCGTAACCGCGGCTTTTTAGTGCACGCCGACGCTGCTTCAGAGGGATGATATCTTCTTTGGATAGACCGCGGAGGTGCTGGTTTAGCTCCCGCACAGAGACTGGCACGAGTTCATTGTCGCTTAATACTGGGGCGTTTTCTCCCGCCTCCTTACTTGATATTTAGTTATTTAAATGAGGTAATCAAGTATATTTAACATTCAGTGGGAGAGACATATCTATATATATATATATATATATATATATATATATATATGTTTTAAAAACTAGTCTAAAATAAAGCAAGATAATTAAAATAAATGCAGTTTGGCATGCATCTCTAAAATTGTTTATTATCGAATTGTGAAAACTATGCATGCATCAAAAAAAGAGTATTATAAACTTAGTGATAAACTAATGCTGAAAGTTGTGGAGTTTGATATACAATCTAATTATCCAGACTAGAGCAAAGGTGTGTAAAAATTATAACGACAATGTAGTCGCAAAACCAACCAAAGAGGTTTTTGTGTATAGATCATGTCCCTACAGTCTCACTTCTAAATTTCCTGTCATTTAGTATAAAATGTTCATACACAACATGTTTCAGAATTCTCTGCCAGACACACTAAGATGCCTAAGACTGCTTGATAAATCAGGTCTGACTTAAAGCCACATGATGTCAAAGAACAGACAACGGTCAGAAGACTATATGGAATCCTGTTTGTAGTTTTGCTTTGGAGAGCTCAATATATCATTAACCTATTTATAAATCTAATAATTGTGATGTTCACTAGACCTTCATATAAGAATTGCTGAAAACCTTCCCCAGAACAAGCAAGGTCCCAGTTATTGTTGAAGAGGACTGCACTTATTACCAACGTGTTATGCATAGCTCACTCATTCTGTAGTATTCTGTATCTGATACATCTATCATTATTTAAGTTGTATAACATTTCAAGAATTTATCAAACAAAACATCCATAACATATTTACCAAATATCATGGGCATGCAAACAGTTTCAATGTCACTTTTCTCAAAGTTGGACAACTAAAGATGTAGTCTAACAATATTATCATTCTTCTGGGTTCAAAAACCCTGCTTTAAGTCTGTGAGAACATGGAAACTTGGGATTCAATAAAACATAAAATGTTCTACTTTGTCATACCCTTTGTCACTCCCTTTTTATTTACCATGACCCTATCAATTTTGTTTCTATTTGAGGAGTTTATTGATTTTCAAAACAAATGGAGAGGGGTACAGAAAACAGGATGGGTGGGCAGCACACATATTTAGCATAAGGATCAAGTACGTACAGTGTTTAAGATAGAGTTAACTCTCCGCATGTTAGTTTGTCAGATGAAGAGGTCACATTGGCATTCAGTGAGACTTAGCAGTGATACATTGGCTACTAGTAACTGTTACAACTGTGTACAGGTTAAACAGAAGGCCAATGGTGTTAAAATGCATCTATACCATACACAGATATCACTAGCTCCCGATTTCCATGTGTCCCACAGTGTCCTTGTTCTTAAGAGAGTCTGTGAGCGCAAAATTATAGATGGGAAAGGTTGCTCATAGAAGCATTGTATAACTATTTCTCGTTATAGGGCTGGTATCATCAGTATCGTTTTCCAAGCTCCAGCTACGTGTCGTTGGGAGCTATGTTCATAATAAGTAATAAAACATGTTGTGGTAGGTAATTAGGTAAGATTAATAGTAGATAGGTCTGAGGCAAAAAGAGTAAAGGTACTGGTTTAGTTTGGTGTATACAAAGTGGGGGACTTTCCAGGTTTGGAGGCCCATACATTGCCATTATACGTGTAATGTGGTACCCTCTTCCGCTCCGCAACGCCAGCATGTGGAAGGGGTATGGGGAAAGATTTAATAGAGTCTGTTTGGTACCATATGCTTTCGGTACAGTATTTTATAAGGTATCTTTTTTTTTTTTTTTTTTAAGGTCTGCAACATATTTTTCAATTTACTTCCTGAAAGGTGGCTGAATGGCAAGCAACTGAAATAATGTCTCTCGGCAGAAAGTAGGTTTATGATCTAACCCCTGTGGTGGTGGATGCTGACAACGCTTCTAATAAGGGTATTTGTGCTACTCGTTGCTTTTTATCTCAGTCGGTATGCATTACAAACATAACAAATTTGTTATTTTTGTTTTTTTTTGTTTTACACACAATTTGAAAACAGAAAGAATGTAGTGGTACGTACTAGCACAGTTTATATCAGATGTGTTTAAAGTGATTCAATGTTTAAGGAATTACATTCTCATCTGAGATTAATAATAAAAATAAAAAAAAACATTTTCAATATTTTTAATTTCTTAAACAGGGCTTTGTCAAATCAAGTTTGGTTGACTTATGTGTGCCACCCAAGAATAATCATAAACACAGACATGTAAAGGCATGTTGTTTAGTAACAGATATAAAAGTAGGTCATTTTTTTTTGCTACATTTGGAAGGTTGTCTGTACCTCTTTAATAACATGTCTAAATGAGAATAGGTGTGCCTATGAACAGAACTGTAGCGCATTATGAAACATGCATTCTACATCGCTGCCCTAAAATCACAACACAAGCCATTGTTTTTGGTAAGAATTCTCCATTAAATGGGTACCAGGCATTCCTCTTTCCCATAATGCTGCTGTGTGAGAATCCCATAATACCCTGTGCTAAATATTGGTTCTCTGCATTAAATAAGCACAAAACAACCTCCATTTGGTATTTTATTTATTGTTTCTTAGCTTTCAACCTCTAGAAATGTATGACTGATCCAATACAAAGAAAATCAGGAGAATAAACGGATCCAATTCAAGCTGGAAAACAGCCCATCTTTTGTAGTAGACTCCGACACAGCACTTACAGCTTCACAAAAGAATGCACATTTAATTATTGCTGGTCTTGTTTTCTTTCCCGTACACATAAAACCTCCCTGGAACAAGTTAAAAGATAAATATACCCTGGCTGCAATAAACCTGGCCCTTTTAACACATTACTGTGAACTACAATTCCCATTAGTTCTGCCAGCTTACAGCTAGCTAGCCCGAGACAATCCCATACTGTAGTTGGGTCTGGTTCAAAAGGCATATGGAATGTTAAAGGTACTTGAATGGATTTAAATAATAAATTGATGGGCAGTAGAGCATTGGTCGGGAACTTGCCTCTATCCACTTATTACACTATTATAAGTACAAATGACATGGCCAAACATGGTGAAGGTTTTAGTAATCCATCCAGAAAATTGTGTCATGTAGACTTTACATGTTTTGTGATTATGATTTAGGCACATTGCACATTACATCATAAACGCAGTAAATAATAACCCAACTCCCCTACAGAACATCACAGAAGGTAATATGGAGAACACAAAAGACACCAAGGATTGCGCCACAGGTCCCATAAATGCTACTAAATAACTGTATGTGCTTGTGTGTATGTATATATAAAAGGAGTATATCAAGGAGCAAGTGTTCACCTGCACAATGATATAGTAATAAGGTGAGTGGTGAAATACAAAATGCTATGGATAATACAGTGGGGCACAAGCACACTCGCAAAACATGCTACAGATCAAATACACTTACATAAAACACAAGGAATACACTGAAAAATAGACCTGATGGACATGATGTAATTCCTATTTGTTTTTAAACTTAAATACAGCTTTTTGGCTTTAAATCTTATTCATAAAGAGAGTGCCACCGTCATCCTATGCATAATTTCCATTCTAGCTGAAATGTGGTTAGGACATGTAAAAAGTCTAAATACTATGTTTGTTCATTTGTACACGTGGTTGTACATTGCTCAAGGGGTGTAGTGGATATAAACATATATAGCATTTTAATAGCCTTAAGATACATAGATACTGCACATCAACACACATACATGCACACAGCTTAATAGGATACTTTAAGTTTAAACAACTAATACTTTGCTTGTCATAGTGGTTATGGTGCAAGGACTTTGCAGATTTAAATTTGTTTGAAGAAGTGTAACTACACCTCCGGAAGCAAGCAGCAACCATTGTGCAACTAGAGTTCCAGGTGGTCTTTGCACAATTTGTGCAAATTTAGCACTGAATATCTGTGTGCACAGAATGCTGACGACGTACTCACAGACTTTACACTGACAGCCACTGCACTATGAGTGCGCCTGCTAGCTTAGGCTGCCTGTGTTGTGTGTCCGCAGTCTGAGAGCACAAATCCTAATCCTCATACACCTGGCTGACGCTTGGTCTGCTCACTTATGAAAAGTTTAAATGAGTTGATTGGCTGATAGTTGTCCAATCAAATGCTTCTCTGTTAGAAGCGTTTGATTGGACAATGTCCAGGACATTTGCATGGAGCAACAAAGCATCAACTTTACAGCAGAAATCAGCTTTACAGGTACTGCACGGTTAAAGGAACACCATAGCTTTAATATAAACATGCATTCCTAATGCTACAATTTTACTCTAACAATTTTGGTGTCAGGAAGACAGCCACAAGAGATGTGTAGAACCCTGCAATGGAAAAATTGCATTTTCTAGAAGCTGGTTATAACTAAAGGGCCACTACAACCAGACCACTTTGAGATTAGGTGGTTGGGGCGCTTTTAGTTCTTTAAGTACTTTAGGACTTGGTAAAGCCCTTTTAAAAAACAAAATATGCATTTTCTTTTTCTTTTTCTACGCATTATTCATATACATAAAAAAAATTGCATTTATTAATGTAGAGTGCTCCTTTAAAACACGTAAGAAAAAAACCTTTATTTTATAACAAACACAAAGTCTGATGCATAGTAAGGAGACATTTAAATGCCTTTAAGCTTAATTTTGACCTAGTAAATATGCTTTTACACCAGCAGCTTATCTTGTTTTACACCCACATCTTTATTGTGCATGCAAAGCTTTTTCTCTAAACAAAACAGATAGTGCCTCTAAATAAAATACAGGCTTCTAATATTTTTATAAGGTTTTCGAAATCGTTGCAGGAACATTTCCCAAATTTACATTAACCATACGCCATTCATTTATAAAGGTGATTGAGTAAAAAACTCTACATGTTATTACAAGTGCACATTAATTTAGTAGATGCAGATCTGACCGTCTATTTGTAAACGCAAGTCAAACTTTGGTATTTTAATACTGTTCATCCAGAATATGAATGTACTGTTTCTTCTGAATGTTCCCAGTGTATTAAATATAAGCTGACTGGCTTTCATTTGACTTTGCTGAACTATGGAAAAGGCAATCCGAGGCGTAGTATTTAATCCAATGATCAATGAAATATTAAATCACGAAAAAGCCCATACATCTGGCACTGCTGTTAAGAAAGCTTTTGGGATTGATTAAATCGACGTTTCAAAATGACTTTCTTTATATAAAGCTAGAAGGGAAGAGGGAGGAAAGAAAAGGTATTAATCAGAGCTACGGGTTTCTAGATTCAAATTTGTCCAGTATGACATTTCCTTGTGCTTTAATTGCTTCCATACAATTTATATCTGCTAGTCACGCTAGGACTCTCAGTTGTAACACATGCTGTTTCAAAGACGTGTTTGTCCTTTAATAACCTCTAGAAGCAAGCCTGAAGGACTATGGGTAAGACCCACAAGTCTTGAGTGAAACAAACATTTTTTTTCACTTTACCCAGGACATATTTAAACAGGAAGTGAGTCAGGCCTAACCGCGAAATTGTCCACAGGCAGTGAATGGTCTAAAGCAGCTTGCAATGAAATGCAATATTACAACAGTGACCCGAAGACACATACACTCTTTCATTGTCAGGCCACATAAAACAAGTCGATGTATGTTTTAATTTTTAGCAAGAAAGAAAGTTGGAGCCTTGGTTAGGGCTGTACTCTGCAAATTATTTTTAAAGCCTGAGAGAGACTCTACCATGGTTGTTTGAGATCGCTGGTTATCTAACTAGAGAAGGGGTAGGCAACTTATGGCACTTGTGCCATGCATGGCACCCGAGGTATCTTTGCACAGCACTCAAGGCTGCTAGAGCCAAACAAGCCTCTCTGGCCTATCAGAAGTCCCAGTGGAACTTCAGATATCTGATAATGTGAAAAGGTAGTGAGGGACAAACTTCATTTTATGCATTGTAGCATGTAGAAGAAGTGATCTCAGATCACCTTCTCCCAGCACTTGTAAATGGGAATCTGCACTGGAGTAGAGCAGCCTGCAGCAGCAATCGCAGTTCCTGCCCTTGAACTGTACCTGGCCAGCATGGTCACCACTGGACCCCAGGGAAGCCATCCATAGCCCTTCATACAAATAATACGAACAGCTTACACACAAACACACACAAGGTCCGCACAAACACAACACCACTAACAAACTAAATACACGGACACAACCCCACAAGCAGCCTCTCACATGCAATACCTCAAGCAGCCCCACACATACACACCCCACCAAACACACAATGTGCTATATTATCCACAAACACAATTTCACAAGCAGCCCCCTTACACAGTCGATATTCACATGTATCCTACACAATACCACAAACTACTCATGTAGAACATATACAATATAACAGTTCATATACGCACAAATACAACAATACAAAGCAACTGCAGTATAAATAACACAAGCAGAATACGGCATCATACACACCTCAATTTAAAAAAATAGGACCAGCACGCTACGGGATATTACAATCTTATTTTGGCACAGTACTGCTAAAAGATTGCCTACCCCTAAACTAGAGTGTTTTCAGGATTCAAAATTTCCACACAACATTGAAGATTTTGCCCTGACTCAGAGCAGGATTAAACATAAACCAACCCTCGGGGGCCGTCTAGGTCCCAAGAGTTTAATAAGGGAACCAGAACCATGAATATACCTGGCCCCATTAACCATCCATATGTGAATAATAAAGGTATACTCTCATTGTCCTGACATTTTTTGCTTTGTTTATTTAGAATATAAGACAGTTACATTCCATTTATATCTACCTAATGGCATTTCCAGGTACGTGCTGCACTGGTGCCATACCTCAAGTTGCAGTAGCTACAGAGCACTGAGGAATTTAATTAACAGTAACAATCTGAGGATCAGGTAAGTTTCTATATCTATACTAACTATGAAGAGCTCACCATGTGGTGTTTAATTGGATATAAAGTGTTAATTTCAATAATTTTATTATCATTTCCCGGTGTTAAAATCCCCTATAATTAACAAACATTTGTTTCCGAAGTCCAAAAAATATGGAATTAAGTGTAGAATTCCACATTTCTTTATTCTCCACTTGAATGGCTCCCTGTCCGTCATTGTTATAAGCTCTGCACTTTATAACTGGCAGTCAGCATTAAGAGAGCCTGAAAGAAGGAAACAAAATCATTGTTTCGGTTTCTCCTCCTCCAATACAATGTGTGCCCTGATGAAAATGACAAGTAAAAAGGTTAACACATGCTATTGCATATAAATAAAAGAACATTGCAACATTGGGGGTAGCCATCATGACATTCAAGCATGACTCACACAATGACATTAATGAGTGTCTCTGAAAACCCACATTATTTTACTGGTAATGATATCGTAATACATAAACCTGTGCCATAACTCCATTCACATACACCAAAAAAATCCATGGACATACCTGGAAACTAGTCAAATTCACCTGTATCCTTCTGCGGATTATTATTATTATATCAAGTGTTGGATACACCAAGCAACTTTATTGATTTAACCTTACTGTACATTGCTATGGAATATATGGGCACTCTATAAATGCAAGTAATAAATCAATAAATAATGACTCTTGTGATTCAAATCAAACATTCAAAATTGTTAAACAGGAAATGTGTCACAAAAACTGGTGGCAGAACATGCAATATGTTATAAAACAATGTAACCTTTCTATGTTAGTTTAGGCTTAAGTGATGAACCAGGCCACTCCCTGCGTTAGATGTGGGATATGACATATCAGTCCATCTGTTGCTAGAGCTTAATTTAGTCTGTAGTCATATGTTTGAAGATCTTCATCCAAAGGAGAGCCCCTCTGTATTTCGATATGGCAGGGTCCCATGTTATGTTTTAGCCTAGGCAAGTCGTGTTCTAAGATCTTACACCTAGGTGTGTAATGGGCAGATGATCTCGTAAATGGATCATCAATTCAACATTCAAGATAAAAGATTTGCAGCAGAAGGGTACATACTCTACGAGTCAAGCAGCCTGTGTTACCATGTTGTCCTATACTTTCCTCAAAGTTCACCAGGCATCCATCTAGCCATTCATCAATTCTACAACTGTTATTTACTTAGCGGTCACACCTCCTACTATGCACCAATATTGTCAGGATCAACAACACTAACCCCTTAAGGACACAAGACATATGTGACATGTCATGATTCCCTTTTATTCCAGAAGTTTGGTCCTTAAGGGGTTAAATATAAGCTAAACTACGGTCATTACTCTTTGTATGAACAACTTGGTGAAATGTTACCTATGCCTTTGTTACCTTTAACCGAAGTAAAAAAGTAAATGTGTGGAATAAGTGTTGGGAGCTGATTACAGAAAAAATTTAACAGACTCTGTGTCATTCATATTCTGTATGAAGTAATTGTCAAAACATTGTCCATACTCTGGATACTCTATGAACCATGAGGTCTCTTCCTTCTTCCTGGCAATATGAATTTTATCACAAGACACAGAGGCTCATATTGCATATCCCTTTCTTTACTGTCCACCAATAGCAGCAAAGGATACAAACAGAATGAAAAAACAATGAACATACAGTAACATAGGCCCCTCCCTGCACAGGTACCAGTATAAGAGGCAGCACTTTCCTTTCATTCTCCTCTTTCTTTGCTGCTCCAAAGATAAGAAACAGCTCACATTTTTTCTCTCACATATTTCTTATTATCCTGTGATCTATTGTCTTGATTTTTACTATTTATTGTCATTTATTACTCCATTGTTTATTCTCTGTTGATATATTCAGTATTATTTAGTTTTTTGTTTAAGGAATCTTTTTTCCATTTATTATTTATGTTTGCTCATTACTATATATGTATATTTATTGCCTCCCAGGGTTTCAGACCTTCTCTGTGAGATAATTGATTTTCTCTGGTTGCTCTTATCTCCTTTCAGTCTCTTATACCCTTCTCTGTCTCTCCCTGTATTTTGACGCCATTTGCACCTCTTCCGTTGGGCGAACCTCTCTTCGACCCGGAAGAGCTACACCATCCGAAGTCGGCGGAGTGGCTCCCGGCGGACCATGTATCCAAGAACCTTGAAAATTGGGTACGACGCCCGCTCACTAAAGCGGCACATAATAAATTGAGGGCTGAGTGCCCGAGGCCTATGGTGCAAAATAAGGTCTGCGATACCCCTGAGGTTGACCCAAAAATGACCCAGTTCCTGTCAAAATTGGGCTGGAACCCACGTAAAGGTCTAGACTCTGCCCTTAAAGCCTGTCAGGATAAGCACCTAGACATATTTGGCCCACTGGAAAAACTTTTTGAACTAGCGGAGGATGCCAGAGCCGGAAACCATATGGTTGACCCCAAAGACCTCCATGGTTGGGTCCAAAGGGCTATTTGTATTGCCGGGAGTGTGAATACCTCCCTCTCTATTGAACGGCGTAAAGCCAATTTATTCAAAATAGAGCCTAAATTGGCCAGCCTTGCCTTCACAGAGGCTGGGAAGTACGCCCAAGGTTTACTTTTTGGCGACTCCTTCATTAAAGACCTGGGACGCTTTGTGGGAGCGTTTACAGCCCTTGACAAGGCCCAAGCCTCCATGAGACGAGTATTCCACGGTCGGGTCTCCACCAGGAACCATCTGTCCGGCCGGTCTTATTTTCAGTCCCGTGGCTCGGGACGAGGCTCCTTTCAGCACCGCTCCAACTTCCAGGAGACGAGTACCCGCTCCCCATTCTTTCCGTCACGCGGACACCCGTGGCGATCCAGAGGCTTCCGGGGTAACACCGGTTCCAGACGACCTTATGGTGAGTTTACCCATACCACATGTTTCTTCTCATGTTTATGTTGGGGGCAGACTCCAACATTTTTTCCCAGCCTGGGCACAGATAACCTCCGACCCTTGGGTACTAAGCACTATTTGCGGTTTTCACATAGACCTTGTGGGGAACCCTGTAAGTATCCCTCCTCCTCGACCGATCTGCTTCTCCCTCCGAGATCGCAGGTCGATCGACGACGAGCTATCTGTGCCCCTCACCAAGAGAGCGATAGAACGGGCACCCCCGGGCTCCACAGGAGTCGTAAGCAATATTTTCCTAGTGGAAAAGAAGGGCGGCCAAATGCGCCCAGTCATAAGCCTGCGCCCGCTCAATGCTATGGTGAGGTACAGCCATTTCAAGATGGAGGGTATCCATCTACTGCGAGACCTACTCCTTCCAGGGGACTGGTTGGTAAAGCTGGATCTCAAGGATTCGTATCTCACTGTGCCTATAGCCGAAGCATCCAGAGATCTCCTGCGTTTCCGTTGGCGGACAGGGACTTGGAGGTTCACCTGCCTTCCATTTGGCCTGTCATCATCACCATGGTGCTTCACAAAATTGCTGTGCCCACCTATGGCCTGGCTACGCAGTCGAGGCATTCGTCTAATTATATACTGAGACGACATCCTGCTCACGGCCCAGGATTGCTCCATGATCTCTCGCCTGGGTTTCATCAACAACCAGGAAAAGTCGTGCCTGACTCCCGCCACTTGTATGGAATTCTTGGGATTCCTAGTGGATACGGAAGCCGCCACTCTGAGCCTTCCGAAATCCAAGACTCGTTCGATACGCAAGTATCGAAGAGCTCTCATACGGCCACACCTCACCTTGAGGCAACTGTCGCGCCTCATCGACCTCCTCGCATCCTATATTCAGGCCATGTTCCCAGGTCCGCTCCATTATCGCGCACTGCAATGCCTGAAAATAGCTCACCTGAGAGCGGACCTCGTGACGCTAGAGAGCGAGACGAAGGACGAGCTGCGATGGTGGATCCTCAACCTATCCGCTTGGAACGGCAGGGCAATCTCCTGCTCCATGCCAGAGTTCACCATTGACTCAGATGCGAGCCTCCATGGCTGGGGGGCTCATTGCGAGGGTGTGGCGACAGGGGGCACTGGTTGGACTCCGAATCCTGACTCCACATCAACGCATTGACTGTATAGGTGACAAGTATTATCTTGCTTGGTACAGTAAGAGGGGCCTGTGTTGGATGGGATTTGACTATGTAACTATGTCAGTTTGGGTCTATCTGGTTCTTTCACTGCAAATATTGGTGAGGCCTTGCACTGTCTGGCCTTGATGTTAGTCTCAAGTACTGGTTTAACCCCTGGGCTCCTGTTCTTTATGTTTTCACAGCCTAAACCGATCCTGCAGAGTATCTGGCTTCAACATGTATGGACCTTTCCCTGCGAATGAAGTTTGGTTGGAAGTTATCCAGTTATACTTCCCTGTTTATTGATATGATGATCCTCCTCTTGGCTTGCAGTTTATACGTCTTTTGGCCTCTCTCTGGACTATATTGCTGTTCCTGTTATGGACTTTATGTATAGTGTCGCATCTTCAGAAAGAGGGAAATGGAAGGTTAGTGTTGCCTATTATACTGGGGCCTATGCTACTATATGTTCATTGTTTTTTCATTCTGTTTGTATCCTTTGCTGCTATTGGTGGACAGTAAAGAAAGCGATATGCAATACTCGCTTCCGTGTCTTTAATAAAATCATGACTTTTCGTTATGTAATAGCAAAATCATGAAATTTGAATTTGTTCTTTTTTTTTTCTATTATTCTCTTTGGTTGCATAGTCTTGTATTGATACTGATGAATGATAAATGTAAATTATTCTTAATGTTTAGTGTCTATGATTGAGGGATATACTGTTATTATTACTTGGTTGTATTTAGGAGAAAGTAATCCCTGTGAATTGGTGTCTATGTCGCAGTGTCTATGTATTATATATATGAAAATGTTTAATAAATATTCTAATAATAAAAAAAATTTTAAAATGTTACCTATGCATTGGTTAAGCAGTGCAAAAACAGTGCTGCATCAGAACTCCAGTTTCCGCAACTAACTGCATTGGCTATATTGGATGGTAAGTAATTATTACTTAAACACTGAGACTGTCAAGTCATTCATAACGCTTTAGCAGGCACTTGGGGGAAGGGAAATGGTAAACTATAAAGTTCACACACACTTCAATACACAGAGAAAAACAGAAGCTTTACCAACAAACTATGTGTATATGGAGTGTGCATGCACACTATACACACACAATCATGCCAATTGTGGAAGTTTTAGAAGGGTATTGCAATTATGGAAAAAGAGTTGTTATTTTTCCAATTCTCTATGATCACTTATTTAGTGCATAAACCCTTAAGTACGTAACAATATGAACTCTGAGCACATGAACTGCAACCAATACTTTGTTCTAGTAAATAAATAAAAAACCAACTTGACAGGTTAAACTACATAACACGTTGAGGGCTTCCTATGTGAAAGAAACAGAGTGAAAAAAGAAAATAAAACTTCACTTTTGTATGTCATGTCCTAAAAAAGCATTCTTCTTTTCTGGGTGAAATATGTTTTTATAGCACAAAGCACACTTTGTTAAACCAGGCATTTCCCTGCAGCTTTAGAAAATGCAATCTGGGACTGTAAATTCAGCTGCAGGAATCAAGTTACAACACGTTACCCTAGGACGGTTATGGCCCCTCAGTATACAGCAAGTTTACTGTCAATACCAAAATAGAACTCTAGCAGTCATCAACATTCACATACTGAAAAATCTCTGTAGGATAAGACAACTTTACCATGATCGCAGGCTGTTAGGACTGCTTTGGCAATTTGTCAAAACATCTCCAAGTAAAAAATGCCCCCCATCCCAGCTTTGGCTAATATTCAGATTTCAGCATTGTCAATAAAAGGAAATCAACAAGCACCATCACCACTACAGCTCACTGTAGTTGTTATGGTGTCATGAGCGCCCTGGCCCCCTCACAGGGTAAGTAATCAAACTGTAGGCAGTTTGAAAACATACCTGGCGTCCATGGGGCACAGTAGCCAGTCTACTTGATTCTGTGCCAGAGGGATTACTTGACACCTTGGCAGCACCCATGGCCCCTGCCAAGAACTGTACGAGACCTGAATATGTTGAAGGCCATTAGTCTATTATTCTACATATATATATATATAGTGAGAAGCTAGGAAGGTACACACAGGAGAGTGTGGCAGCCTTTTAGGTTTGTCCTCAGACAATGTATTGCTCCAGCTAGCCTTTTCACTGTATAGGGGTTCAGGTTGGGGCATCAGAAATGCGTGATGTCCCATAAATAAACCACTAACTCGGTCTAAGGAGTACATTATCCGCTGGTTTTGTGACTAGATGACTGGCTATACTTGTATAGCAAGTCTACTTTCGTTCAAGTTATACCTGCCTTGAAATGACCCAGACACTATGAGTCAGTTGTAATAGGCAACTTTGAGACCACTTTGGAGTCAAATGGGTCTACTGACTAAAAAGCAAGTGATGGAGACTTGAGGAATTCAAGTTGTTTGCTAAAATAGCCAAGATGGAGCACAGAATGTCCTGTTCAACCTCAGGCATATTTTTATGAATTTCTATCTGGCCTAGATTTTACAACCTACTTTTTTGTTTAGCAATACTTCCTGTTTAATGAATATATATATATATATATATATATATATGATCTAAGACTGATAAAGATGTTTGTTGCATAATGTTTTAATGTTTTCTAATAACATAACACCTATTTTGAAACCATCAATTTTTTATTTTTTATTTTTTTTAAAAAGCCCATTACCACATTGATTTAGGGTCTGTAAACGTTCCAGTTTTATAATTCTGTAGACTACATCTCCCATGATGCATGTCCAGCAATACTGACAACACTTACCTTTGCTAGAATTCACTGCAGCCCTTTTCCCATGACATGCCACCAGAATTTTGCATGTTTTTTCACATTTTGTCATGCTCTGCATGCTAGAATGAATGCAAAATGAAATACTGACTACCCCTGACGTGTTCAAATCCTATTCTATGATTGTTATAAAGGACTCTTGAATAACATGTTCTTTTAATAACCATCACAATGACAAAGTGACTGGTACACCTCATTCTGCAGATCTCTTTCTAATCCATATTCAGTTCTAATATTAATATTATGCCTAGCATAAAGATCCATGTTCTTAAGCAAATACATCTGATCTACAACACACACGATAGTCCCTAGTCTCAGTGCCAGATAGGTGAGAATGTTTTTTTTTTTTTTTTAAAGAGATGCCTGTGTGAATTCAGTGCCTCTGGCAATCAAAAGGTTAACATGTGCCAAGCAAAGTGACTTTCCATAGAAATCGCTCTACATGTCCTGCCAATTCATGACGGTGAATGCCAGTATCATGTTGTCCTCCATAGCTCAGGAATGCAGTTTTTTTTCTCCCAATGTTAAACATAATCTCAGTTAATAATCAGCAGCAACTCAATAATTATTAAAATGTAAGCAAGAGACAAACACAAGAAACAATGGATTCTCTATGCACACTGCTGACCATGTCAGTCATGAACTTCAAATTCAATTTTTAAGGCTTTTCACGGGCAAGTTTATTGTTGTTTGCATCACATTCATTGGCAAAAGAAAAGAAAAAGATATTGATTGTGGGATGGTGCAAATGTTCCATTAGATAAATAAAAAAATAATTATGCAAATATTATCTATTCCACGTCAGTTTTGTGATTTGATAAGGTTTGTGGTGCAAAAGGAGGTGTTGAACTCCATATATACAGTATAACAAACATATCGTTTGAGCACTTAACCCAATCTACATTAGGTGATGCCCACAATAGCTATCCTGTAGGCTAGTATAATGCTTCAAAGACACCAAAGAGCCCTGCTTATATCATAGGTAAGATAAATGATAATACATAAATTATGAAACCTTTTCCTGATTTGACAAATCCACCAAGTTTTCCTGAACCGATATTATTTAAACATGCTGATGGGTAGCAAATGAAAACCTGTAGTATGTAGTAATCATTCATATGCTACATAAGAAAAATCATCCACCTAATCAAAGCTGTCCTTTAGAGATTCCACTATGATTAATTAATTACTGTTTTGCACAATAATATAAATTGAATATTCCACAGTGCACTGTTTAGAGTTAAGCTGACAATTCACTGGAAAATTGAAGGCCATAATAGTCAAGTTGAAAAAGCTATGTTGGCATACATTTTAAAAACCAACACACATTTGAGAGTGATAGGTTTCAGCTATAAGTAGTCCGATAACGAGAGTTCCCCAACCATTATTGAAGTTATGGAAACCATGATGTGAAGTTATCACATGAAATACCGATAGACCCCTGCCCTTCATTTTGCAGCCCGTTGCTTTGTAGAAACAGCATTTGTTAACATGAAGAGAAGATTTTCTGCATTCCGATAATATCCACATCAAACATAAGGCTGTTAAAATCAGAGAAGCCTTACCAACTGTGTATTACAGTTGTCAGTCGACCCTTGATGTGAATTTTGTTGTATTTATAGAGAGACCACTCTGGGACAAATGCCTCTCCCTTCCCTGCATTTCTATTCAACAAATCTGAGTCATATGAGTTAATGGATGAATAAATAGATAGAAAGGAGAAAGAATAGAAGATAAATGACTAAAGGACCAAAAATCACCCAAGAAACCCATGGCCTCAAAAGGACCACTACAGTCACCCAGGCCACTTCATTTCAATTAAGTAGCATGAGTGCAGTAGTAAGAAAACATTTAATGTTATTATTTTTTGTAAGACACAGGGAGGAGGGGGATAAATACCAGATTCTTTTGTGCTGAAAACCCCCCACTTGTCTTATACTCGAGTCAATGTCTGTATTATGGCAACTTTCATTGCCATAATACAGACCAGGACCGCTGGGCTCATTACAAGCCCGACGGTCCTGTTGGGGGCTGGAAGGAAGCTGTTACTTACCTTTACAGCAGCTCCGTTCAGCTCCCTTCTCCTCCGTGCCGTTCAGCTCCACAAATGTAAATAATATTATAATAAAAAAGAAAATGTAATAATATTAAAAAAAAAAATTATATATACGCACACTGCATTATATACACACACACTGCATTCATACATACACACACTGCATTATATACACACACAATCTGCATTCATTATATACACACACTGTAAATAAATATTCAATTAATATAATTTTGGGGGGATCTAATGTTATTTAGAAATTTACCAGTAGCTGCTGCATTTCCCAACCTAGTCTTATACTCGAGTCAATAAGTTTTCCCAGTTTTTTGGGGTAAAATTAGGGGCCTCGACTTATATTCGGGTCGACTTATACTCGGGTATATACGGTACTTCCTGGTTAAAAAATTACAAGTGTGCGTGTTTTCATTGGGCTACATTTAATAAACAGTGATTTAAGTATTTAATTTGGGAAGTACAGTGTTCCTTTAAGAAAATATTTTCACTCTGACTGACCTGGTTGTTTAAAATTAAACTGTGCTTTGGGCAAGGATGATATTTCCTTGTTACACTACACAGATAAATACCATTCACTGGGAGTGTATATATTAAATTGTAAGGGCAAGTCAACATGGTGACCAGGGAACACTGTGCCCTTAAAGGGGACCTGCCACCCACAATTATATATACATATATATATTTATACTCACCTGAAGCTCTTACAAAACTTTTTAAGAGGTGTAATCGGGCAATGTAATCTGGAAACAGATGAGAATAGCTGTACTCTAAATTGTAACATTAACCATGATGCCTGCAAACACAGGTATATTCCTCCATGTCTGGCAGTCATCTTAATGATGTTACCTGTCTTAAAGTGAAACTATAGTGTCAGGAAAACAATGTTTTTTTTTCATGGCACTATAGTTCCCTATAATGCTTCCTTCCCTCCTTAAATGGACACTAACCGCAAGCGTCCCCTGATACTATCCAACGGTTTGAAATTTACCTGGCTCTGTCAGGTGCCCATACTGCTTCTGGCCTAATGTGATATGCTAAAGCCGACGTTAATATCTCTGCATTATCATGACAACTCATACCAAGTTCGGATATTATACAATGGCCCGACTTAGTATGGGTTGACATGCGATTTTTAATGATGTTTAGCAAGGCCGAGTTGCTTAAACAATTCTACAACACTTAAATACTTTATATAATTGAACACTATAGTGACCAGAACCACTAATCTTTAATGTAGGGGATACTGTTGTAGTCAACACTACTTTTAAAGGTCTCCTCTAGTGGCTGTCACTCATATAGCCACTAAAGGGACTTCCTGGACAACGTCCTGCAATTTTCACATGACCTACTTTCAGCATCTCTATGCTCTGTGTGAAGACATTGAACACTCCCCATAGAGATGCATTCTCTATGGGGGAGCATTGGAATGGTTGAGATATCAATACTGATAAACTCAGCCGAAGAGGAAGGACCAGCAGTATGGTAACAAGTGGTAACCAGCAGGATAGAAGGTGTAAAAAGTTATCGTAACCCTTGCAAAGGGGGCCCATACATCTAAAGGGTGAGTAGTAAATTATAGCATTAGGAATACATGTTTATATTCCTAATTATGAATATTTTCTATTATTTTATTATTTATATAGAGCCAGCAAATCCCTTAGCACTGTGCTAATGCTATAGTATTCCTTTAAAGACAACTTAGAAATCACTGAAGTGCTGCTGGAAGACATAAAGCCCAGCCCTGGGCCACAAAATGGCTGGACCAAGAACACTGTCTGTGTAATTATTTGCTTTCCTTAAACTTTCCCCAAGTGATTAATGAATTTACAGTCTGCGTACAAAGATTTTCACCCCACACTATCTCTCCCTCCCTTCCCCCCATTTCAACACTGGGAGCACAAAGGACTGTTTACAGCTGAGATTATTAGACCATTACTAAGGCACTATTCTGCCTATCAACTTCATACAACTGGCTCAAGTTGTTTGTCTGAGACTGGGGCTCTAGGAGCAATCCATCACCTGGAGACAGAAATTAAAATAACATTCACAGCATGTATTACCAAGTCAAATTCTACTTCTTTTTTTCCTCTCGCAGAGTATAAGACATTATTTCTGGAGCAAGTATACTGTTTTTTACTCAAGCATTACAAGTTAAGTTACAGGCACAGCAGACAGTCCTTCCACTCCACCAACACATTCCCCCCAGCAGCCGCACGCTTGACCGTAGCAGGAAAAAAAAGTATAGAAAAACTGTTCACCCGGGGCCAGGAACTGCTTGTCCAGGGTGTCGGGTGATATAAAATCCACATCCTTGAGCCTGGACATACACAGCATATACTCCTCCACTTAAACTATATTTAATAACAGAAAAGGGCAGAGCTTATTACAATGATTGACAGGGAACCAAGATGAAAAATCACAAAATTAAAAAACCTTGAAAGTGAGAGTTTCCCTTTAACCTAATGCGGTACTGTGGGACGGTTTCAGTAACAATTTCTACAAGTGTATATTAACACCATCTGCATAAGATATTATTAATATTAATTTTCTTATTAATAGCATTCATATTTTGTTAAATGCATTTCTTTCTCATAATGGACAGAAAAAAAGATCTCAATCTAAAATTACATCAGCGTAAAGAAAACAATGGTACATTAACTGCTACTGAAAAATCCCCAACTTACAAAAGGGTTGACTTTGTGACCCTTCAAATAATGCCATAAAAAAACAAAATATATGATAATATATCAGCTTACACAATACAATATTCTTCCAAAACAGTAGTTACACTGTAGCAGGTTGGATAGACAAGTCACAATAGACTAGACACAAGAATATTTTGCTACATATTCCATAGTTAATTAAAGGGATCCTATAGTGCCAGGAAAACAAACATTTTTCTTGCACTATAGGTCTCTACAGTGCCCCCCTCCCTCGCGACCCCCCTCCCGTGGGGCTGAAGGGGTTAAAACCCCTTCAGCCACTTACCTGAATCCAGCGCCAATGTTCCTCGGCGCTGGGTCAGGCTCCGCCCACACTCTTCCCCCGCTGATGTCAGCCGGCGGCGGAGACCTAATGCGAATGCGTGGTAATGGTCTGTGAGGATGTCCAGCATCAGATAAAGGACCAAAAGTCAGTTTGAATTCCGGAAGCGCCCCCAGCGACTTAGAGCTATAATGTAAACATTGCAGCTCTCTGGAACTGCAATGGTTTACATTGCAGCACTAAGTGCAAAAGGGTTACAACACCCAGACTACTTCAATTTGCTAAAGTTGTTTGGGTGCCTACAATGTCCCTTTAATTACACACTAATGATTGAAATTCTATTATTCTGCCATTTGAGGATGGCACTGTGAAATGGTCAAGGTTTAAAACATGAACAACTAGAAAAGGGGTCAATGTTTTAAATTTGGGGCAATTACCATGGAAATTATTGGAATGTGTCTTCTGATACTACTGGTCTCCATAGTGATTGCTCAACATTCAGAACTCTGTCTCCTTTTCTAATAGAGACATTTTTATAAGTCTCCCACAATGCGTGTAATTGAAAGAAGAGAAAGAGAAGCTAGAATTTTTTTTTAGCTTGGTGCAGAAGAGGTAATTACCCCTCTAGCCTCTTGTTAGCCCTCCCATGATGTATATCTATAGATAGGCTGATTTGAACAGAAGATTATTGTTGTTTATAGCATTATAGTCAGGAAGAAATTACATCTTGTCCAGATAAGGAGATAAAGCAAGTAACATTCAATAAATTACCGTAGAAGTGTATGCAGTTGGTGTCCTCACTACCATTAGCTGCTGTTAAACCAAATTATATAAAAATAATATTTTTTTAAAAAGGGTCTGTACTAGAAGAGAAGCACAGCTGTGAAGTAGTGGAAAATAATGCCATCATGGGGTCCCTGAGACATTCATAAACAAGTCAAACTTTGATTTTGTGGTTTATGATGGAATTATTTGCTTATAATTCCGACTTCATTATTGGGATTTATATATATATATACTATGTTACTATGACAACAAAATCATGTAGCCTATCAGCACCCTTTTCTTGTATCAGATGGTTGAAGATAGGATTTGTGTTGCCGAAAAATATAAAAAGTGAGTGTATTTGAGTTTTTTGACACAATCTAATGGTTAGCATTGTTCTAGGCATTTATGGGGAATCAAGTACTGGGATATTACTTTTAATATCATCATGCACATAGTATTACCCATGTAGGGTGCATGTATTTCAGAGCCTAAAATTCACTATATTTGATAAAAGAAAAAACCTTGTCCCTTGGGCATACAGATGTCATTTGTTTACAAAAGGTGGACCTATTTTAAGAGTCTTGCATAGCATTATTAAAGCATTATGTTGACCCTCCCTGTCCATCCATGTTGCCCGCAGCCATGTCCCCCTCCCTCCACAACACAACCACATTCCCTGAAGCCATGTTTTGACTCTTGAGGGTGGGGTTAGCTGCACTGACTGGAAGAGTGGTGTATGCCTCTCCCTCTTCATGAGGTGGGATTCTTCCCATAATTTATCATTTCTATTCACTAAACCTGGAATTGTAGTAATTTGAGAAGGGAGTTACACAACTGAGATTTAAAAAGCAGAATATGAACAATTCTGAACCCCAGCCAATTTTCCAGCTTGGCTTAGTATTATCAATTCCCTTGTGAAATCACCAGAATTCCTGATTAGTGAATGAACCCCTAACAGTTAACCTAAGAGTATACAAAATTCACACGAACTTATAAGGAGTGAAAATGTACAGATTTAGTTTGTTTAACCATACAATTAGCTTGTTTTTCTTTTTGTAATGTACAAATGGTTAGGAAGGCAGGAAAGTGTTAATTGTCAGTGTTCTAAAACTCAGCCATACTGTGGCTTGTTTACTATTGTAAAGAGCTGAGATCAAACTTGCAGCATTGTATCTGCACAGTCTCACCTCACCACAGAGTTCACTTTCTTAGCTGTTTAATGTAAACATTCACAGACCTTTCAAAGGAAAACAGAGACCTACTTGCAGATCATTTGCTGCTGAGTAAGTAGGCCCAAGTGTACTGTACTTGGGTTACTAAGCAATGGCAAGCTTCAGATATTCTCAGCAATACGCTAGTCAAATTGACCCTCAGCAGGGGCTGGGTAGACACACTGTACAATATTATTAGGGTAGTCATGCACTAAACAAACGGATGACAACTAACTTTTTCTTAATTATGTTCAAAGTGGTCATGTTGGGCAAATTATTAAACTATTCACTTTAAAAATATTGACATTAAAATGGTATGCATCAGCAGAGTGACATTATAATGTTGCTGCATTCAAAATATCATAGTGCCATTAAAGCATAATTTATGATGGTGTACGGCATTACAATGAAGGATATAACAGTCCATCACCCTGTAATCATGCATCCTTTAAGCAACAGTTCAAGCACCATAACCACTACCACACATTATAGTGGTTATGGTGCCAGAAGTGCTGGTGTCCATACCAATGTAAGAACTCAAACTGTTTAGTAACTGTTTGACTTCTTACCTGGGCTCCACTCCACATACGTAGTTTTTAACCAGCAGATTCCATTAGCTCTCCTGACCTAAGCTCTGCAGGTCTGAGAGTGTCAATTGAGCAAAGTCATACACCACACTCAGCCAATGAGATAAGAAACAGCTTCCATTATAGGGTAGGTGTGCAGAAGCGCCCTGTGCACCAACCGAAGAAGTCAAACCATTGGTAAACTGTTTGACTCCTTAATTAGGGCATGCACGTGGCACCATAACTACTACAGCACACAGTAGTGGTCATGGTGCCTGGAGTTTTCCTTTACAGTTTGCAATATATTTGTATATTCACCTCATTCAAAGCTCAGAGAATAAACTTTCAGAAAAAACTTTGAGAAAACCTTCCGGAAGAACTATAAGATTGTTGTTGAGTAGCACAAGAAACATTAACACGGGAAACACACAAACTTGAAATCACAATAGGAAAAACATTTATATACCGTATATACCCGAGTATAAGTCGAGTTTTTCAGCACATATTTTGTGCTGAAAAACCCCAACTCGTCTTATACGCGAGTCACTGTCTGTATTATGGCAACTTACATTGCCATAATACAGACCAGGACCGCCGGGCTCATTACAAGCCCGGCGGTCCTGTTGGGGGCTGGCAGAGAGCTGTAACTTACCTTTCCTGCAGCTCCTGTCAGCTCCCTTGCAAGTCTCGCGAGAGCCGCGGGTCAGAGCTCCGCGCGGCACTCACACCGCGAGACTTGCAGTGGAGGAGAAGGGAGCTGACCGGCACGCAGGAGAAGGGAGCTGACAGGAGCTGCAGGAAAGGTAAGTTACAGCTTGCTGCCAGCCCCCTCCTACACAGCCCATCCACTGGACCAACAGGGAATGAGAGCCCCCTCCCTGGCCAGCTAACAAGCAGGGAGGCGGGACGAAAAAATAAATAAATAAAAAAAATATTACAATAAAAAAAATCTTAATAATCTAATAAATAAATAAATAATATTTTTAAAAATAATAAAAATGCCCACCCCCCACCAAGGCTCTGCATCACATACACAAACACACTCTGCATCACACACACACACTGCATTCATACACTCACACTGCATTCATACACACACACACACACTGCATTCATACACACACACACTGCACTCATACACAGCACTCATACAAACACACACACTGCACTCATACACACACTCACTGTATTCACACACACACTGCATTCATACAAACACACTGCAAATAAATATTCAATTAATATAATTTTGGGGGGATCTAATTTTATTTAGAAATTTACCAGTAGCTGCTGCATTTCCCACCCTAGTCTTATACTTGAGTCAATAAGTTTTCCCAGTTTTTTGGGGTAAAATTAGGGGTCTCGACTTATATTCGAGTCGACTTATACGCGAGTATATACGGTAGATAATTAAAAAACATAGACCAGTAACCCTTGCATGGCAATCCAATACTATGCACCTACATATACACCTACACTGTATATGCCAAAGTATTGCTGTGTATCTCCCTGTACGTCGACTTCTCTGTAACTTTATTGTTCACTGCACAAGGAACAATACCATGAAATTTGCTGCTGTATATGAACAATTTTAATTATAGCTTTTTATTCCTTAGTGAGTAATGTTGCGCAGTCGCCAATCCTTTGCATGTTATGTCTACCCGTTTCACACAAGAGACACTGAGACATGGTAGGGCCGAGCAGGATATGCTGGTGTTTTATAAATAAATAAGACTCAGGAAGAACAGTTTAATCCCAGTTAAAATCCAAAGCAAGGCAGAAGGCCAGTGATGAAAGGAGCCAAAATCAGACACTGTCCCTGTATTTGGCAGGTATGTAGACATCTGTGTTCCTGAAAGGACATCAGATAGCAATGATGTTGTAGTGCAACTATCTAGTGCAAGTGTCTAGACTTGGTTCTGCATCAATTTCTCAGAAGGATAAAGGATTATTTTATAACAGGAATGGCACAAACTTAAAGGGACACTTTACTGGCCAAATACAAAATAAATAAAAATCACAGTTTAGTAGATATGCCCCAAATGAAAACTTGCATGTGATTAATTATGCTTTTTTGTCATTGAGGTGTAAATCTAAAAACAACTTGCAAAACCTGCAGTTATTCTGTCTCCTGCCTTTGCAAGCCCTTCCCTTCTAACCAAGCCCAGACATTCTGTGGCTGTCCAATCAAAGACTTCCCAATTCAGCTCAATGAAATGTTTTTGCAAGGCAGGTGCTCTGATCAATTGCCTGACTCTTGAGATTTGCTTCACTGAGTTAACCAAACCAGGAAGTAACAGGACAAAGCCTAGGAGTGTAACCAGGTTATTTTATAAAAGTGTCAATTTAAATTGAAATCTGCACTTTTGGCAAAATGAAAAATAGGGCACACTCTCTTTACACAAAGTTTTTCAGCTATCTAAAGTGCTTTATGGGTCTGGAGTATCCCTTTAAAGGAGGACTATAGTGCCAGAAAAAGAAACTCGTTTTCCTGGCACTATAGGGTCATTAGGTCCCCCCACCCTCAAGGCCCCCCTCCCGCTGGGCTGTAGAGGTTAAAACCCCTTCAGCCACTTACCTTACTCCAGCGCCGGTCACCCCCCTGCCGACGTCAGCTCGGTATGCGCATGCGCAGCAAGAGCCGGGCGCACATTCAAACAGACCATATGAAAGCATTACTCAATGCTTTCCTATGGATGTCAGCCTCTTCTCACTGTGAATTTCACAGTGAGAATCGCGGAAGCGCCTCTAGCGGCTGTCAGTGAGACAGCCACTAGAGGCTGGATTAATCTTCAGTCCTCAGTACAGGGTTAAAACTAGAATGACCTGGCACCCAGACCACTTCATTGAGCTGAAGTGGTCCGGGTGCCTATAGTGGTCCTTTAAGACTGGCATAGCATCATCCCTCTAGCATGTAAGCTCATTGGGCAGGGCCCTCTGTTCCTGTGCGTCCATTTGTCTGATTACAATTACGTATCTGTTAGTCCACCCATTGTACAGCGCTATGGAATTTGCTGGCGTTATATAAATAATAATTCTAATGGGAGTCTTAGTTATGCAAATACTGTGATAAAGCCCTCCAACAACTCTTTATTACAAAGACGTGCTCACATAAATACTGATAAATCATGACTCCCACCATACATTTCACCCTTTATTTACTAAACTGTAAATTGTGGAGTACTGACATGGGGTTTGAAGGTAATATCTCCAAACCAGATATTTTTCCTATTTTAGTCTACAATTTACAATTCTGGGTCAGTTTTCCAAATGTCTTGATTTAATGAATAAATGTACATTGTATAATAATGTTTTAAGAATTCACAACACTTTCAAGAACTGTCAATTTATTTATTTTTCGGCAGCATGCTGCTAACTTTATGTATCCCATAACTGAATTGCCATTATAAATGTAGATTGAAACCATTTACAGCAAGAAGCTGTTCCCATACACTTCCATATATACACACAAACTATCTCGAGAGGATTGCGTAAGTGCATATTTGTTTCACAGATCTACAGTAAGTATGACAATTTCACCGAAGACGTGATTTAAATATATAGCTTGTTCATAACATACAGGGTTGAAAATTGAGATTAATAAAGTATATGACTCTTTAGTCAATTTAGTTCTGCAGTTGTTATAGAACTACAACTCCCACTATGCTCTTAACTCCAGCCAAATTAACTTCCTTTCTTGTAGTATGATTGTTGGGCATACTAAGAATTGTAGGTCTATGAACAGCTGAGGGATACCATATGTTAAACAACCATACGCAATTCTTCTTTTATTCAATGAGTTAAAAAGAAAATCACACATTTCTGCTGAGCTGAGTGGAAGGTAAATGGTTTATCATGTTGCAGATAAACCTGCCTGGAACTGGCATTAGTATATTGTAAACTCATCTGACAGCAAAGGATACAACATTCCATCACTAACTAGTGACTGTAAAAGGGGCAAGCTAATGTATTGATGGCTAGGATGTGATAAATTATGTCTTCAACTCACATGCTGCTCAGCCAGCCATATTATCAAAGTGGGAATCAGGAAAGAGGCAGTCCACAAAAGTAACAGAGAAAGCTGGTAGCTATCACAGGTCTTAAAAACAGATTTAGATAAAAGGAGGGGAACCCATCTATTCAAATCCCACTTACTTCAAGAAGTATCTCTGCCCAGTGTGGGTATATGCCATCTCCCAGCCGGGTGGCAGGGGCAGCTCATCTGTCACATCATACGATTGCTGGCGGAGGTGAGCGTGCTGCTGAGCCGGACTCGGGGCAGACCCGGTACTTACTCCCAGTTGAAATGAAGCAGGGGATGACTGAGATCGGAAATGCTGGATTCCCAGCCTTGGGGGGTGACTTCCCGAATCGGTGCTGGACTGTCTAGAATGGGATCCAGAATCGGGTTCCATGAAGAAGGACTCAGGAAGAATCTTCTTTCTCCAGGAACTGGGCTTTGGGTTCATCACCGAATTAAAGAGAGCTTCCAAATCGGTGTCCAAATCCTGGGTGACATGGATGAACTGATGCCCTGGTGGAGGAAGATCTGTGCCTTGATTGGAGTTCATTTTCCCAAGCAGAAACACAGCAGACTGTGTCTAAAACAGATCAGACCTCCTGATGTCAACACAGGAGCCCAAGGAAGCGTGGATTGCGCAACGAACCTAATAAATAATCAATAGGAAACTTAGGAAAAGTTGCTTGAGGAGCCTAATAATAACAATCAGTCTTCTAGAACAATTAGAACGTTGATAGGCTGAAAGTTCCAATGAAGTGCATTGTGACGTCAGCCAGGGAAAGGTCTTCTCTCCCGGACCTGGATCAGCTCCCAGGGGCAATGAATGTCCAATAAAAAACCTGCTTGCGTGGGGTGTCTGAGATCCCTGGTCCACAGGCTCTGAGCGCCTTCTGGACGCCTTAAACAGAGTCAAGAAGCTAGCAGCTCTCAGGAAGGGACAGGGAGAGGCGTCTCTGGGCAGAAACTTTTTTTTCTCTTCTGTCCTGAATTATGCATGAGCTGCAATCTGTGCGTAGGAAGCACAACAGCCGGAGCCTGCCCTGCCCTCCTGAACCTCCTCCTCACAGACCGGGACTTTACCTTACAGGGCAAGAGCCTCAGGCTTTCACTCCCACGTACAGTTCGGGTTACAAGTGTGGGTGAAAACGTGCAGGAGACTGCCTGGAGATCGCTTTTTGTACAGTCTCTCCCATTCTAGGGAATTGGCTCTAGGAAAAAAAACAAAACAGATTTAACCCCTTCACTGCTGATTGCTTGATATTTGCACTCTTGAGTGCCAATAAGTGTTTTGAACAAAAGATCAGCACTGGAATAGTTAAAAAAAAAAATGGGGAGGATTTAGTTTTTAATGGAGACATTCCTTTTTATGAAAGTACATTTTTAACACCAAATCCTCAGCTACAATTTTTTTTTAAACTTTATTTACCAACATAAAGAGTTGTTATAATGATTATAACTGATTAGCAATAAAATAAAAAAAATAGCTGTATTTGCTTAGTCCATCACTATAATAAACAATTTTGTGGGAAAAATGAACTACCTCGACTGGCTGTATATTTACAATCGAGTTCCAGCCAACAGATTGTGATTTGAATGCCATACCAGCAATGGAAGGGTTAAAGAAAAGTGGAAAGGGATGGATTTCGGTTTTATGGAGACATTCCTTATGAAAGTACATTTTGTAACACGAAACTATTGGTCTCTACTTGTTAACTTATTTGTTTTGAACTTTTCCTTTACTGACAAAGTTTTCTTTTGGGAAATATTATAATTAGCTCAGAAAATAAAGATTTATGTGCACAATTTTAATCACTTTAATTAAGCATGTTTGTATTAGAGAGCCACTGTCAGTAGTAAAATGTTTGCACTACAGAATTGCTAAAATTGCAAAAAGGCAGATATGGGTTATGCTAATCCTTCATTAAAAATATCTTAAGTTTTCGTCTTTTTTTTTTTACTTTACATGTCACGCAGGGTATACCAGTCACATAAAAACTTTACATGTTGGGCAGGGCATATCAGACACAGCATGCAAATTAGACTAATCTGTACAGTATTCTGCACATGGCATACTCTGCACTAGTCAAGAAATGTCTGACAGCTCATTCTGCATTTTCTGTAGATGACCAAGCACTCATGAGCACCCCTGAGGCATCACAGGGTGGCAAAGTCATGGAACACAGTGGTGTATCCTGGTTTTGTGCTGTCCTAGGCAGGACAATACTCAGGCGCCCCCTCCCCCGTGCCACCTCCACCCTATCCTTCCCCCCTACCCCACCTTCTAAATACACACACACATTCACTGACAGATATGCATACACTAACAGAAAAACACACACACTAACACACACTCACTCACTAACAGACACACACTCACAGACACAAACCCACTAACAGACACACACACACACACACTGACACACACACTAATAGACACACACTCACACGCACACACTAACAGACACACACACACACACACACTAACAGATACACACACACACACACTAACAGACACACACACACTCACACACACACACTAACAAACACACACACACTAACAGGCACACACACACACACTAACAGACACACACACACACTAACAGACACACACACTAATAGACACACACTCACACACTAACAGACAGACATACACACTAACAGACACACACACACACGAACAGACACACACATATACACACACTCACTCACATTAACATATTTTTTTTATTTATTAAATCCCCCCCAGCCTCCTTACCTTTGGGAATGCTGGGGGCAGAGGGGGAGGCTCTCTTACTGGTGGTCCAGTGGCTGCTGGGCGGACGGGCGGCTGGCGAGGGAGCACTTTCTCTGAGCTCTCTGCTCAGCTGAGGCGCGCGAGGGAGCTGAGCAGAGAGCTCTGAGGAAGTGCTCCCTCGGCAGCCGCCCGTCCGCCTCAGGCGCGCGAGGGAGCTGAGCAGAGAGCTTTGAGGAGAGTGCTCCCTCGCCAGCCGCCCGCCTGATCGGCATGTCTGTTAGCCGCGAGGCTAACAAGGCATTTGCCCTGGGCATTTGGGGGGTGGCTTTTTTTGCCGCCCCCTGGAAAATGCCGCCCAAGGCAAATGCCTTGTTTGCCTCGCGGCTAAAATGCCCCTGATGGAACATAGACGTGCAGTAGAGGTAAATAAGATTTTTTATTTTTTTTTCTTATAACCTCAGCATTAGGTCAATGCTGCAATAACGATTACTGGAGTGAACAAATAAGGAACACTCATTCCTCTGGAACGGACAGTTCACTTTGTATTCCTAATGCTCTCCTCTTCATTTAGTTTCAGGGCCAAGCCTTCCAAATGTAAATAAAAAGTAGTTTAACTCACGTTTTTTTTTTTCCAAGTGCTACTCGATCTGCCTCCTTCAACGTCAAGCCAACTCCTGTTCTCGTCCATCGAATGCTCGTCCTAGAGGAGCATTGGGGATAAAAGGTGCATGCACAGCCACTGCTGCCATCCTCTAATAAAATGCAGGTTAGATGTGAGAACTGGAAGACAGCCACTTAGAGACGTGTGAAACCCTGCAATTAAGTATTGCCGTTTCTACTAAACAGCAATGTTTTACATCAAGGGGATAAAACTAAAGGACCACTTCACCCAGGCCATTTCACTTAGATAAAGTTGTCTGGGTGCCTTTAGTGGTCCTCTAAAAATTGAAAAGATGGCAAAATTGGCATAAAATTGTTGCAACATATACAAGAGATAACTAACTGTGTTCCTTAGCAGGAATGATTGGAGACTTTGTTAGTACTCTTGAGAATGTTTGAATCTTTACTGTAGGCTCACCTCTGTATATCCCAAACCCGTTAAATCACACAACGCTGCCATGTGACATCCGATTTTATCTCAGTCATTTCAATCAGTTGACAGATCTGTCAACCAGTGTCAGGATGATTGAGGGAAAGTGCACAGTGAATACCCTTTTAACTAGCTGGGCAGCCTGTCATCCTGATGCACATGCGCACTGGAATGACATACCAGCTTTGTAGATTCTGGGTAGGGATCTGCTCTTTCTGCAATGATGTATTGGTTGAGAATCATCAACTGCAGACATGAATGTGATATGTAGTCTAAACTCTCCTATTAAGAGCTGTCTACCTTGCTGCCACTGATTGCAAATGTCTTCCCTTATAACCTATTGTGTTAAGAAGCTCAAATGCATAGAACAAAACCCCAAAAATTAACTGTGTACTATTCCAAATCCCTATGCACATTTGCATAAAAAGAGGTTTTTAGTCCAACTCCATTGACTACTAAAGTGTAAGCTGTCCCATCAAGGCAAACCTGTCAGGTGAGTCCTACACTAACAATTCTTCTTGCTGCTTTCAGATAAAAAGCAAAATATCTATGGGACAGAAAGGGGTATTGTTATAAGTCACTACACACTTATTAACCTTTAAGAGGGTACACTTGGGGTGGGTGACAACACTGTAAGATGGTTGTTAAATACAGACATAGAGGGATAGACTGAGAGCTTTTGGGGTCCCTGGGCAGAAGTAGATTCCAGGCCATTGGAAGGCCAAATATATGTGCTTTAATTAAATGTTAAATATAATTCTCATACATTATAGTTTTGTGTGTAAGCAGGGGCATCTGTATGGAATGTAGACGTGAATGTATGGGTGGTTTTGTGCTGTGGAATAATTTTGCTGAGGGCCTATGTGTGTGAATAAAGGGGAGTGTTGGTGTGTCAATGCAAAAGTGCATTAGTGTAGAGCAGGGGTGCCCAAAAGGTAGATCCCCAGATCTTTTAAAACTAAATCTTCCATGATTCATTGTCATTCTAAAGCATTCTAAAGACATGCAAAGCATCATGGGAGTTGGAGTTCTACAACATCTGGGGATTTACTTTTTGGGCATCTGTGGTGTGGAAAATATGTGTACAAATTCAGGGATATAGTTGTATGGAGTGTCTTTGAAAACAGGAGTACATTTAGCAGTTTGTGACTTTAAGAGTGCAATTGTGAGAAGTGTAAAGCGGGTGTATGTGTGTAGAGTGTAAGCATGTGTAAATGAAGAGATTTGTCTCAGCGGGTGTGTGAACGAGGGGTGTAGTTGAAATCTGTGTCATTGTGTGAAAGTGTTTAAGAGGTTTATTTATATGGTGTAAGCAGGGCCGTCTTTAATTTTGATTGGACCCTGGGCAAGCATTTACTTGGGCCCCCTGACTATATATAGATACACACAAATACACTACCTGACACACATGCAGATACACACTGACCACATGTAGATACACACAAGAACATACAGATACACACAGAATACATATAGATACACTGACACACACATAGACATACACACAGATATAAACACTGACATACATGCAGATACAAAGGTACACCCATTGACTACATATAGATACACACACACACTGACACACATCCAGACACACAGATACACAACCTAAAACACATGCAGATATACAGATACAAACACTGACACATACAGATACACTCACAAACGGAAAAGATACAGATACAGAGACACATTCTGACAGACGTACTGACACAGACAGCCATACTGAAACACACATACACAAAGACATACTGAACCACACAGACACAGACATACAGATACACTGACAGACATACTGGCACATATACACACAGACAGACAGACATACTGAAACACACATACACACAGACATTGACAGACATATTGACAAACACAGACATACAGAACCACATGGACACTGACAGACTCACACAGACATACTGACAGACATACAGACATTCTGGCACACATACACACAGACAGACATACTGAAACACACATACACACAGACACTGACAGACATACACACGTACAGACATTTTGACACGCACAGACAGCCATACTGAAACACACATACACAAATACATACTGAACCACACAGACACTGACAGACACACACACACAGATTTTCTGGCACACTGACAGACATACTGGCACACATACACACAGACAGACAGACATACTGAAACACACATACACACAGACACTGACAGACAAACACACATACAGACATTTTGACACACACAGACAGCCATACTGAAACACACATACACACATACATACATACTGAACCACACAGACATTGACAGACTCACACACACACACAGACATACTGACACACTGACAGACATACACACATACACTGACAGACATGCACACACACAGACATACTGACACACTGACAGACGTACACACATATACAG